GGGCAGAGAAAGAGGCGGGGGGAGAGGATCCCAAGCAGGTTGTGAGCTATCAGCACAAAGCCAGACTCGGGGCTTGAACTCACGAACTATGAGATTATGACCTGAGCCGAAATCAAGAGTTGATGCCTAACTGACTGAGCCACCCAGGTGGCCCTAAAAAAAGTCTTAGTGAGGACTGTAGAATTTGTCACTGAGACAGACTACCCTATAAAACCAAGTCAGAGTTACAAGGTACCACTGATTGTCAAAGATAATGATTAAACAAACAAGACAGGCATTGTATTTATGATTTAAAAAAACAATCAGCATACCTATTTCTACTGTAGTAGTAGGAAGAGGAATCTTAGATTATTCTTCTTAACACAATCAAGATAAACAGATTTCATAAAGCTGGAACACAATGTATTTTTTTAAAACAAGGCACAAGAAGGGGCGCCTGAGTGGCTTAGTCAGTTAAGTGTTGGACTCTTGATCTCAGCTCAGGTCTTGATCTTAGGGTCCTAGTTCAAGTCCCGCATTGGGCTCCATGCTGGGCATAGAGTCTACTTTAAAAAAAGAAAGCAAGCAAGCAAGCATAAGAAGCTCTACTGGCTTACATAACAAACCACAAATCTTACTGATATACGCAGTCATCTGAACAATTTTTCAAACTATTTGAAACACCTATAAGACAAAGAGCGTTTATACCTATGAAAACTCAAATATGTAATTTTATAGCATTAGAAAAAAAATTCTTATCTTTTTAAAATCAAAATGTTAGTTGATTAGTGACCAATACCTTTTTATACAGAGATGCTTGGAAATAAATTAACTTTGCAACTTGTTTTTCCTTAAAATTATAAACTTGCTGAACTAGAACTTTTTTTTTTTTTTTTAGTTTATTTATTTACTTTAAGAGAGACAGAGACAGCGCGAGTTGGGGAGGGGCAGAGAGAGGGAGAGAGGATCTCAAGCAGGCTCTGTGATGATAGTGCAGAGCACAATGTGGAGTTCAAACTCATGGAACTGTGAGATCATGATCTCAGCCAGAACCAAGAGTTGGATGCGTAATGGACTGAGCCATCCAGGTGCTCCTAGAATCTTCTTTTAAACTATACAGAACCTATCCATTATCTCTAAAGGAGAAACTTGTATTTCCAGTCTTACTTTTTAACAGGGATGTCTTCTACATCCCAAGGAAATGGTCTGAGATCTACACAGAAATGAATTTTCAGAGATAATCATCACAACACTAATCATTACGGCTAAACTGTTAATTTTTTAATAATTAAAAAAAATTTTTTTAACATTTATTTATATTTGAGGTAGGGGTAGACAGAGTGTGAGTGGGGAAGGGGCAGAGAAAGAGGGAGACACAGAATCCGAAGGAGGCTCCAGGCTCTGAGCTGTCAGCACACAGCCCAACGTGGGGCTTGAACTCACAAACCATGAGATCATGACCTGAGCCAAAGTTGGATGCCCAAATGACTGAGCCACCCAGGTGCCTGTTTTTAATTTTTTTAAGTTCATTTATTTATTTTGAGAGAGCAAACATGAGCACGAGTGGGGGATGAGCAGAGAGAGATGGGGAGAGTGCGCTCCGGCACTGTCAGTGCAGCAGAGCCCAACTTTGGGTTCAAACTCATGAACCATGAGATCATAACCTGAGCCAAAATGCAGTTGGACCTGCAGCCAACTAAGCCACCTAGATGCCCTGCAGCTAAGCTATTTTTTTTTTAATTTTTAATGTTTTATTTCTGAGAGAGAGACAGCATGAGCAGGGTCAGAGAGAGAGGGAGACACAGAACTGGAAACAGGCTCTAGGCTCTGAGCTAGCTGTCAGCACAGAGCCCGACGTGGGGCTTGAATCCATGAACTGTGAGATCATGACCTGAGCAGAAGTTGGACGCTTAACCAACTGAGCCACCCAGGCGCCCCAACTAAGCTATTTTTTAAACTGATATGTCCAAAAATAGAAAACTGCTTAGGTCATTATAGATTATGAAATCTTGTCAACATAATTGGTATGGCATATGCTCATTGTATGATGTTAGGTCAATAGAAAGCAGGACAAAAATCTATACACACAGTAAAGTATGAATACACACACACATATAGAAAAAAAACTGGAAGAAAATGAAGCAAAATTTTAATTGTGCTTTCTTTCTTAAATACTTAGATAAACCTTTTATTTTAAAATAATTTTAATTTACAGGGGCGCCTGGGTGGCTTAGTCGGTTAAGCGTCCGACTTTCACTTAGGTCATGATCTCGTGGTTCGTGGGTTCGAGCCCCGCGTTGGGCTCTGTGCTGACTTCCGGCTCAGAGCCTGGAGCCTGTTTGTCTGTGACTCCCTCTTTCTCTCTGACTCTCCCCTGCTCACGCTGTCTCTCTCTCTCTCCTAGAAATAAATAAAAATAAAAAAAAATTAAAATAATTTTAATTTACAGAAAAGGTGCAAAATAAGAGAACTTTTGTATACGCAGCACCCAGTTTCCCCTTTTGTTGGCATTTTACATGACGATGGCACGTTTGTCACAATTAATGAACCAATATTGATGTATCATTATTAACTAAACTCCATACTCTGTCCCTATTTCCTTAGTTTTTCCCTAATGTCCTTTTTCTGTTCAAGTATTCCATCTAGGATACCATATTACATTAGCAGTCATTGTGGTGTCTAAATGAGGTGTGTCTCAATCAGATAGGGGCCCCCAAATGTGGGGTGACAAATCAATTGGAAGGCGGTGGCACAGGAGGTAAAATTCACCTGAGGCAGAACAAAGGCCATAGATGTGTATTGCAAGAGGGAGCAGCCAGGACAGCAAAAGAGAAGTGTCTACAACTAGGCAGTGGGTAGGGGCTGTTTTTAAACGGGAGAGATGAGGAGGTACGGTGTTCTCCCTCTTTTGGTAACTGTTAACTGTGCCGTTATAAGTAGCCCATTGGTTAGTTAGGGCCTGTGGATTTTTGTTAGTTTGTTGCCTGATGGGCCTGTCTGTATTCAGCCAAGTGGTCACTCTGGGCCCTTTCTGTATCCCATTGCTTAAGCCTGTTTGCCTAAAAACCACCTCTACAGTTATGTCTCCTTAGGCTCTTCTTGGCTCTGACGGTTTCTCAGACTTTCTTTGTTTTTCATGATCTTGACGGTTTTGACTATTTTGGTGAGGTATAGTCCAGAATGTCCCTTAATTTGGGCTTGCCTGATACTTGAAACTAGGGTCATGGGTTCTTAGGAGGAAGACCACAGACTTAAGGTGCCGCTTTCAACACCTTATCAAGGTTACATGGTATCAACATGACTTATCACTGCAGTTTACCTGGGTAAGGCAGCATTTGTCAAGCTTTCTCATCACAAAGTTACACCCTGTCCCCTTTTCCAATCTGTACAATTGGGTAGTGAGTAACTAAGTACAGATGCCTGCTGTACTTCTTTATAATTTTCAGTATTTCTACAATAAACATATATTACCTTAAAAAAAAAAAAGGCCAATAGCCCCCAATTTTAAGTCCTACCTATAATTCAAGTCCCGTCTGAAATGCCACTTAAGTCCTCCCCACCTGTCTACCATGTTCGATGTGGTTTGTCCCATCCTTATATAATACTGTCCCTATGGCACTTTTATTCTTCTGTTTCACCTCTACACTAAAATGCTATTTCCCCTACTTGTTAATACCTCCATCTTATTTCAGAAGGAATGAAAGGAGGGTCTCTTCACCTCCCTGTGTCTGTGCTCCAAGGCCTAGTCAAGGGACAAGGTCATCCACACTTTTTTTTTTTTAAGTTTATTTATTTTGGGAGAGACAGAGAGAGTGTGAGTTGGGGAGGGGCAGAGAGAGGGGGAAAAATCTCAAGCAGGCTTCACACTGTCAGCACAGAGCCCAGTTTGGGGCTCAAACCCACAAATCACAAGACCATGACCTGAGCTGAAATCAAGAGTTGGACCCTTGATCGACTGAGCCACCCAGGTGTCCCTGGCCATCCACACTCTTAACATCTTTTTGTTTCTGTACTGAGGCTTTCTCGGGAACTTGCTCCAGAATCTTTGAGGGTGCCAAGTATTCCAGCATGATAAACAAGCAAAGAGAGTGCCTTGGAGAGTATAGTTAAACCAGTCTGGTTTTTCTTGCCCATGTGCTTAGGAAGTCATGTGGAAAGCACAATCAGCAGTGCAGAGAGAGAAAGCCACTTCCCTGCTATTGCATTCCTGGGCATGGGTAGAAGAGACATCCCTCAGCCCACTGAGGTTAGTGGAGACTAGAAACTATAAGCAGCACATTTTCTTCATGTAAAAAAAAAGAAAAGAAAGAAAACAAACTCTTCCAGTCTTTCACAGATTTTTGTTTCTTTTATTTTTTTAAGTTTATTTGAGTGAGAGAGAGACCCAATGCACTCCTGCAAGGAGGGAGAGGGACAGGAAGAGAGAGGGAGAGAATCTCAAGCAGGTTCAACAGCTAGTGAGATGCCTGATACAGAGCTTGACCAACCAGCAGATCATGAAAATCGAGAGTCGGGTTCTTAACTGACTGAGCCACCCAGGCACCCTGCTTTTTGTTTCTTTTAGCTTTCAATTTTCTTCTATTTTAGTCCTGACTTGGCAGAGCCAGAGACCACAAGCCTCTAGTTAGCACCCTTACTAAGAGCTTTTTTCAAAATGACATTTTATTTATTTAGGTGCTATCTGAATGTGAGGCAGGATTCTCAGTAATGTAGTAATTTAGAAAAATACAATGAAAAAACAAAAGAGGATGGGATATATAAATAATATAAATCTAATCCATATTTTTAAAAAAAGATCATGTTTCCATGTTTACATCTTAATAATTTTCCTCTCCTTGGGGCACCTGGATGGCTCAGTCGGTTGAGCATCTGACTTTGGCTCAGGTCATAATCTCACGGTCGTGTATTTGAGCCCCATGTTGGGCTGTATGCTGACAGCTCAGAGCCTGGAGCCTGCTTTGGATTCTGTGCCTCTCTCTCTCTCAAAAATAAACATTAAAAAAAGTTTTAATAATCTTCCTTTTCTTTTTCTATAATTGTAAATATATTTCCATGTCTGTGTATATTTCCTGTGCATATGCTATCAAATTTGATTCTCTCCTATTAATACGTCTCATGTCAATTTGATTCTTGGTCCAGCTAGAAGGACCTATGGTCTGACAGGAATTCTTGCTCACCGACAGTGGAGACAAGGCTGAGAGCACTGAAAGGAAACAGTAGCTTTATCTGTAATGTCCCAATATTTAAGCTTTAACTAAAGTTGCTTATACTTAAGGCTCTCTTTTCATTCCTGACATTGTTTGTATGAGACTTGTCACAGACTTTGAGTCTGGAGTTCTCTCTTGTCTAGCAAGAGAGTGGACGCAGAATTAAATGCGAGAGAGGCTAATGTCCAGGAGGGGACAAGAGCCCAAGTAAGGGCCCCTGCTCCATTTTTATTAGGATCAGAAGGCTTACAAACGTGATGGACATTCAGAAAGAGACCATGAAACCTTGAACATTAACTCGTGTGTGAGAGAAAGGGGGTTTCGAAGATATTCGGTGTTAGGGGTTTGGGTCAATGCAGAACAAAATCTGCACTGAGTGGATGGTTGCTTATGACAGGCATGAGGCACTGTGTATGTTTATCTTAACTTGCCTAGGGGATAAGACACAGAGAGCATGCTTCCTCATGGTAAACAGGGCACCTTTCTTTTGCTAATTAGCTCTGCTCTGGGCAACTTCACCCTATTTACTCACTAACCCGTTCTGGACCTTCTGTCCTGTGAAAGCAGCTTTCTGCTTTTGTACTATGCTGGGGGTGCTTTTGCCCCTATTTACATAATCTTGGATGCTTTCATCCTAAACCTTGTTAACCCACTGGTGTAAGCACAGGGACTTCCTAAACTTATTCCCCAGAGACTATTTTTAATAGGAGTGTTATTTAAAGAGAAAGGAATGAAAACCCAACAGTTTTACCATAAGACTTCAGCTGAACTGTCTTTCACTGATACTTAGCATGTATCAGTCTCACACTCACAACCTTCAAATACTGGGTTATATTTTCAAGAGAGCCCACCTAACTTTTCCCACCCAAGTGTTTGTGGAAGAAAGTCTGGAGCTGCTTCCAAGCATCTACCTGGGCCATGGCATGAGCCCTAGGCTCCCCTCCCCAGATGACAGGACCGCCCACCAAGGTGTGTAGGGAAGCCTGGCACATGGGGAAGTAAGGAGGCTCAATATAGTGCCCTGTCCCAGGGTAACAGATGATCTGGGGCTTCTCCTTACCATGGGCCTGTAAGCGCTTAGAGGCCTCATTAGCATAGAACTCACTCTTCCAGTTGTGGTCATCCTGACCTACTAGGAACAGGAAGGCATTCTCAGCCCTTTCCACAGGAATGAAACTCTTCTGGTCAGGTCCTTCCAAAGGGCTATTCAACACATCCAGAATGTCCACCAAGCCGTCTCTGGTCAGCTTGACTCGACTTGGGTCCAAGCCCACAGGAGGCAAGGTCTCATCCTTGTAGCGTAAGGTTCCCCCAACATTGGCCACAGAGCCATTGATTATGACAGCAGCGGAGATGCCCTTCAGGAACGAGGCCATGGAGAGGCAGAGATCACCTCCTTTGGAACTCCCAAGTAGCCCTACTCCTGGACCCTTTACCTGAGAAAAGGATAGAGAGAGGAGAATGAGTCCATGAACAGTGGAATGTGATCAGTAGTGCCTGGAACTGGAAACCACGCAGAACTGAGCTGGATTCTGGGCTCTACCATTTGCCAATGTTACACCTTTGGGGTGTTTACTTTTCTTCCTCTCTGTCTTATTTTCCACAGTTTCTCCATCATCATTCTTGGTGACTTCAAAAACCATGTGGAGGATATAGTAAATACTTTGGCTTCTGAATTTCTTGACCTCAAACTTAAACAATAATAAACAATAATCTTTTTCTCTACCCAGCTCCAGCCATCCACTCCCACTGTCGTAACATAAACCAAGTCATCATCAGTGAGTAGATCATCTCTAAAACCTCAGCTTCAGGCTACTCTCTGATTCCATCTTCCCTAATTCCAGGTCAACCATTCTTGTACCATCCATTTCTACCTCTTGGTGGCACTGACTACCACCGTAGTTTTAACTACCAGTACATCTCTTGTGTTCTTACTTGCCACTCATTTACTTTAGATTTCAAGCTTCTTTGTTATTATCACTTCCTTATAAGCACCCTTAACTCTAATACCTCTCTGCCTTTGGTCATACTTGCCTGGAAAAACACTAACTTTGGTCAACCCCCCCTGCATTCACTTCCTCCAGGCCTGTACTTGTGCAAGTGAATGCTGCTGGGAAAAAAATACACATTTATGATGACAGATCTTACTTTCATTTCATAACCACAAATTTCAGATAAGCATCCATATTTCCCAACCATCGTGCCACATTTCATTTATGTGTGCTTTCCATTTCTCTAAAAGACTGTGTCACACCTCCTACCTCCTTAATCCCCTTAACCTTTAACCTTGTTCCTTTCGTTTTCAGCTCTTCATACTGAAATATATAGAAAATAAATAGTCCAGTAGGAACTGCTCCTCATTCTCCCCTGTGAGATCTACTTAGTTCCATGTGAACTAAAGCTTTATACCTTCTCTTCCATTTACAAAGAAGCACCTCTGTGCTTATCAAAGGCCACCTGCTGCTTGTACTTGGGATCTCCTCCACTTTCATTCTCCAGGACTTCACTCCTACAATTAACATCATCTCCCTCTACTCTTTCATAACTTTCTTCTCTACTGGCCCATTACCATCAGCATACTTAATGCTCTAGTACCTCTTATATTTTCACCACAGTCCCTCCACCTCACATCCACTCTGCCCTAGTTTTCTACTCTCTTTCACAGCAAAATTTGTGGAGACAAAATTGTCTGTAGTTGTTCTTCTCATCTTCCCTTGTCTACCTAATCCCCTCAGGGTAGTTTGGGTTTGTGCTATTTCACAAGGACTTCTCTTGCCACAGTTACCAAAATCTTTTATTACAAGTGGCCATTTGAGGGGCACCTGGGTGGCTCAGTCAGTTAAGCATCCAACTCTTGATCTCAGCTCAGGTCGTGATCTTAGGGTCCTGAATTTAAGCCCCACATTGGGCTCTATGCTAAGCAGGGGCCTGCTTAAGACTCTCTCTCTCAACAAATGAATAAACTTAAAAAACAAACAAACAAACGGCCATTTGAGTCACCTGTGAACAGCAGTCTTTTTTCCTTATGAGTTCTCCAATAGCACCCTTAACTGGTTTCAACCATTTACTCCTCATAAAAGAAAAGTACTAGGAATTAAATGATATATTATCATCATCCCAATTTTTTGGAGGAAAAGGAGGCCCCTAGGTCATGGAACTACTTAGTAATTGGTGAAATCAAACTTATATTTAACTTTAACTTTTGTCTATCTACATCTTGTGCTGGTGCCATTATACTCTATCACCTTTTCTAAGAGTTCCACTGCTTCCCATCCACTGTGAGCTCTGAATTGTAAACTAAGTAAGGTTTATCTTCTGATCCTCTGATACTGTGAGCCTATAAAGCCAAAAAACACTTACTAATAACGAGCTTCTTTGGCTGCCCAGTTCTTCCTTTGATACTGTATTCTCAAGAGGGGCCACAAAGAAGAGAGCATTGTTATAGGCAAACATTTAACCTAGGGACCTCTGGAGACAGTGATTCCCTTCCCCTTTCCCTCTACTTATTGTATCGAACTTAGGGTTCTCAAGTGTGTTTGGACTGATTATGATATACTATAAAATACTGAAATTTAAAATTCCAAACCAACAAAGAACATCTTTAGTAGCAGGATATATGATAGCATATAATTGCAGAGAAACTGTCTACAAGAAGTAACTATAAATGGTAGTGTGTGTTGGGTATTGGGAGTAGCTGTCGTGAATTTGTCAAGTTGTATGAAAACCAAGAGCAGCTATGAGAACACCCAATACACGGATCACAAAACCTAGAGACATTCCAACCTGAGGGTGATCCAGCAGGTAGTTCACAGCTTCTTCAAAGTACTCCAGGTGGAGGGTCTTTATGCTCTTGGGGAGGTCTTCATAGTTATAATAAGCTAGAGCCATCACAGCAAAACCCTTCCCAGCCAGCAGACAAGCTCGATATTCCAGAAGGCCACTTCCAACTCCAAAAATGTCAACAATTCCAGGGAAGGGCCCAGGTTCTGTGAAGAAACGAAACACAAAACTAAACTATTCTTGAAACTCTTAGCAGTGGTGTCAAAAGCCATGCGTTATCTACTTGGTGATGTCAAAGTTTTCTATTGACAATCAGAGATGCTAGAAGACTTTGGTCTTCAAAGATCCAGACAATGGCATAGGCTCAATCCACATTTCCCCTATACCCAGGACTTCTAAGCCCCACAGAGTTTTTACAACAAGTACACACTACTTTTCTAACTAAAAATAATTTACAAGCAGACAATGAAAACAGCAAACTGCCCACTGCCCTGCAAAAAGTGACAATGCCAAATGCCAGAGAGCATGTAGAACAAGTGGAACCCTCATACGTTGATGGTGGAAATGCAAAATAATACAGCCACTGTGGAAAACAGTTGAGCAATTTCTTACAAAGGTAAACACACTTAATCATATGATTTCACAATCTCACTAGTAGGTGCTTACCCAAGAGAAATGAAAATGTGTGTACATATAAAAACTTGTATGCAAGAGTTTGTAGTGACTTTATTCATAATCTCCAAAGACTTGAAACCCAGCTTGGAAACCCCAGTACTTCAAATGTTGAATGAATAAAACTGAAGTATACCCATAGAATGGAGTACTACTAAGAAACAAGAAGAAACTATTGGATATATGGAGCATGAATGAATCTCAAATACATTAAGCTGACTCAGTTTATTGGACATTTTCACCATTTACACAAAAAGTTTATACTTAACATGCAAAATCTGAATGATGATAAGGCAAACACTTTATACCTAACACCTTAAGAAATAACTCAGCACTCAGTATCCAAGCCCCCTGAGCATCTGTGCCACTTCCCTTCCTTCCCACTATCCTGAATTTTATCATTCTCTTAATTTTCTTTACAGTATTACCACTAATACATGCACCTTAAACAATATTTTTTTTGTGCCTTTTTTCTTGAGTTTTATCTGAATGGAATGATATGAATGTGTTCTGGGATCTGTTTCACTCAGTACTCTTTTTTGAGATTCATCCATGTTGACTTTTTTTTAAGGGAAACAACTTCTTCCTCCCTTCCTTCCTTTCTTCCTTCCTTCCTTCCTTCCTCTCCGTCTCTTCCTCCCCCTCTTTTTTCCTTGAAAGAAAGAGAGTACAGGAGGAGGGGGACGGAGAGAACCCCAAGCAGGCTCCTCATTATCAGCGCAGAGGTGGATGCGAACCCACCAATCCTGAGATCATGACCTGAGCTAAAACCAAAAGTCAGACACTTAACCAACACAATTTTCTTAACCTTCATATACTGTGGGAATTAGAAGCAAACTTGCTATACTGAGAAACTATTTTAAAAATCATTAAAAACTTGGAGCTACCTATAAAACGTTTTTGCTTTTACTTACAACTGTCTTTTCCATTTCCTTATGATGTCTTCTAACTGACCTCTCAGTTTTGGAGCAACAGAGCCACCTCCCCAGGAAGGATACACGTTAACGTCCCCACAGACCTGTGCAATGTCGGGAGCTACCTCCTTACTCTTGGTACACGTACAGGAGACCAGGTAAAGGCGTACAGAACAGCCTGGGGCACAAGGCACTCACCTGGCGGCAGGAAGAGCGTGGCGCGCACCCGGCCCTCGCGCACCGGCACCCGCCGCACCCCCGGCCGCAGGAAGGCGCGCTCCAGCACCGTCCGGCCCAGGAGGTGCCCGGCCTCCGGCTCGTGGCCCTCGAGCACCTCCAGCTCCACGGCGAAGGGCGTCTGCACGTCCCGCTTCACCAGCCGCACCAAGGGCTTCTCGGGCTCCAGGGCCCAGAGCAGCCCCATGGGCTCGAGCCCCGTGAAGCTGCCGCCCAGCGCGGGCGCGCGCGCCAGATCCAGGACGCCGCCGGCGTCCGCTTCGTACCGCGCGTGGGACCGGAAGAGCGCGCCTTTCTCGTCGCGCAGGGACGCGCGCAGCGTGACGGGCTGTCCCGGGAACAGACCTCGCACGGCGATGCGCACCGGCTCGTCCCAGCCGCAGCGGCCCTCAGGTTCCAGGCTCCAGGTCGCTATCTTCCGGGCAGGTGCCCACGAGACCCGGCCACCAGACCATAGCTTTGGAGAGCCTGGCAGCTGACCCCATAGGCGGAGTCCAGAAGCTCGCAGTATAGCCGCAGAGGAGGCCACCATTTTGCTTTCTGATTTTGGACTTCTTTCAACTGAACACAGTGGAGAAAGTTAGAAACGGGTAGAGACCCTCTAGTGGCAGGTTGCCTCAACTGTATGCTGAGCGCCCAGTGCGGCCAAGCAGCCCGCCAAATTGAGCTTGGAAGGGCCAGACCCCTGCTGATCAGGTCAGTAGCTCACCATTAAAAGAAAGTCAGGGGCGCCTGGGTGGCTTAGTCGGTTAAGCGTCCAACTTCGGCTCTGGTCCTGATTTCACAGTTCGTGGGTTCAAGCTCGCGTCGGGCTCTGTGCTGACACCTAGCTCAGAGCCTGGAGCCTGTTTCAGATTCTGTGTCTCCCTCTCTCTCTGACCCTCGCCTACTCACGCTGTCTCTCTCTCACACAAATAAATAAAACATTAAAAGAAAGAGCCAAAGGGGCGCCTGACTGGTTCAGTGGGTTAAGTATCTGGCTTCGGATCAGGTCACGATCTCACAACTCGGTGAGTTTAAGTCCCAGGTCCAGCTCTGTACTGACAGCTCAGAGCCTGGAGCCTGCTTCAGATTCTGTCTCTGTCTCTCTGCCCCTCCTTGGCTTGTGCATTCTCTCTCTCTCTCAAATATAAATAATAAAGAAAGAGTGAAAATAGATACACATGAACTTGCTCTACCCACTGAAAAACCTGCACTTTTTATGTGGGGTAAGAATTTCCTAGTTCTGCTTCTCAGAAGCTCTTTGGCTTGTGCAGTGTTGGCTGGATAGGGGCTGGCTTTCAATGGCTAAGACAAGTTTTATCAATTTGTTAGCTGATTCACTCCCCTTAATAATTATAGGGCATTTCCTTATCTTCTACACTATCCTACATTTTAGGGCCCTGCAGTCTTATTAGCTGTGTGACCTCAACTTCATTCCCTAGAGGTGTAAAAATAGCCAAATGAAATCATAGCGCACTGTCAAGTTGCTGTATTTAGGCAAACGTGATCACTCTCATCCAGGGCATTTCACCTTTTCCCCACTTTTATTTTAAGTCAAGTTTAAAAAAAAATTTTTTTTTTAACATTTATTTTTGAGATAAAGAGAGAGAGACAGAACACGAATGGGGGAGGAGGGGCAGAGAGAGAGAGGGAGATACAGAATCCGAAGCAGGCTCCAGGCTCCATGCTGATAGCACAGAGTTCCATATGGGGATCGAACCTATGAACTGCAAGATCATGACCTGAGCGGAAGTCAGACACCACCAACTGAGCCACACAGGCTCCCCACTTTTTCATAAGCTGTGGGTTCTACCCAGTATTGGATTTTTCATCAAATTAACTTCAAGGCCTTACCAAGGCCTTGTATTTGATTTTACATTCATGATTTTCAAGCCCACAAAACCTGTGTTTGCCACTGCTCACAATAAGACCACCCAAGGACTTTCCCAACCAAACCTTTTTATTTAGTTTCAAATGTTCTTATGTCTTGCTGGTCATTAATCATGCAACTTCCTATAGCTTTAACTGCTTTTGCACTGGTCCTGTGGGATATTTCAGTGTATTTTGTGCACAGAAACCAAAGAAAGTAAATAATAATAGCTAGTTCTTAATCCTTACAAGAAAATTAAGGCCTGGATAGACGAAATGATTTGCTAAAGATCAAACAACTTTAAATACTGGGATTTATATCTTTGCAATCAGATTCCAGGGTCTGTACTCTGAACCATTATGCTTTAAATGTCTTTTTTGTTGTTGTTGTTTGTTTATTTTGAGAAATGGTACACAAGTGCGTGCAAGGGAGGGGCTGAGGGAGAGAGAGAGTATCCCAAGCAGGCTCAGCTTGATCCTGTGGGGCATGATCCCACCACTGTGAGATCATGACCTTAGCTGAAATCAAGGTGGGCCCTTAACCAACTAAGCTACCCAGGTGTCCTGTATTTTGGGTAGTTTTCATTTTCTTCTTTGTCCAGAATTTCTATCAGAAATAACATAGCTTTTATAATTAAACAGTTTTTTAAATTGTTTAATTTGTTTTAAATTGTTTAATTTTTAAATTGGCAAATTTAAATATACCAACATAAAATTTACCATTTTAACCATTTTAAGTGGTCTTCGCACCCAGAGCAGGGCCCAAATCCATGACTGGGAGATCAAGACCCAAGCACAGAGGTGCTTGGGTCCGATAGTTGAGTGTCTGACTTCAGCTCAGGTCATGATATCATGTCCGTGGGTTCAAGGCCCACATCAGCTCTGTGCTGACAACTCAGAGCCTGGAGTCTACTTTGGATTCTGTGTCTCCCTCTCTTTCTCTGCCCCTCCCCTGCTCATGCTCTGTCTCTCTGTCTCTCAAAAAATAAAATAAAACATTAAAAAAAATTAAAAAACAAAAAGGCCCAAGCAGAGACCAACAGTTGTACAACCAATGGACACAGCAGCCCAGGCACCCCCCCTTTTAACCATTTGTAAGTGTATAGTTAAATACACTCACACTGTTGTGCCACCGCCACCACTCACCACTGTCCATCTCCAGAACTTGTTTTCTTCTCCCCACCCTCCGCCCCCCACCCCCCAGAACACACCCCAGGAGCCCTTCGGGAAAAAGCAAAATTTTTAATGCCAAGCAACTGCCAGGCCCGCAGGGTGGGTGCTGCATTACACTGCTCGGCGCACAGCTGGTTCGCAGAGTGCCTCTCCAGAACTTTTTTATCACCCAAACTGAAAACCACCACAGCCCCTGGAAGCCACTCTTCAACATTCCGTCTCTAGAAATTTGACTGTTCTAGGCACCTCATATAAGTGGAATCATACAGTATTTGTCCTTTTGTGTCTGCTTATTTCAGTGTGTCTTTCAGGTCCATCCACATGTAGCATGAATCCAAATTTCATTCTATTACATGCATGCAATAGAATATTATTTATCCATTCATCTACTGGTGGATTTGGGGGTTGTTTCCACATTTACTATTGTGAATGCACTGCTTATGAACATGGGTGTATAAATGCCTGTATAAAAGCCCCTGCTTTCAATTCTTTTGGGTATATACCCAGAAGTAGTAGAATTGCTGGATCACATGGTAGTTCTGTTTAATTTAAAAAATTTTTGTTAACATTTATTTATTTTTGAGAGACAGAGTGTGAGCAGGGGAGGGCAGAGAGAGAGGGAGACAGAATCTGAAGCAGGCTGCAGGCTCAGAGCCGTCAGCATAGAGGCCAGCACAGGGCTTGAACTCACAAACTGTGAGATCATGACCTGAGTTGAAGTTGGATGCTTAACAGACTGAGCCACCCAGGTGCCCCAATTCTGTTTAATTTTTTAAGTCTTTCAGTCTTTTCATCTCAGAGACCATGTCTTTTCACCCTTTTGTAAGAGTTCCAGGGGGGCGCCTGGGTGGCTTAGTCGGTTAAGCATCCGACTTTAGCTTAGGTCATGATCTTGCGGTTCATGGGTTCGAGCCCCGTGTCGGGCTCTGTGCTGACTGCCAGCTCAGAGCCTGGAGCCTATTTCAGAGTCTGTATCTCCCTCTCTCTCTGACCCTCCCCTGCTCACGCTGTCTCTCTCTCTCTCCTAGAAATAAATAAAAACATTCAAAAAAAAAAAAAAAGAGTCCCAGGGTCTGAGCACAGCTCAAGTCTAGGCACTGAAGTGAGTGCTCAGGTTGGTCAGCAAGTGGTGGTAACTACCCGGATAGCATGGCCCCAGATCAGTAAGACAGAATCTTATGCCCAGAAATCTTCTCTACTGTCAGGACAAATTAGTTCTGTAAGGGAACTCCTGAAGACCAGTATTCTGGAGGTCTGGGATTTTACTAGTAGAAATACAGGATCTGAAGAGTCCCTTTGTAAAAATAGTGTCATCAGCTGATAATCTAGCTAGGATTTGGGGAGCAGGGGAGATGGAATTGAACTATGTGAATGAAGGAGATTGAGTGCCAGTGGCAATGATTGGGGAAGGGAACAGGCCCCAAAGACAGACCCATTCTACTTTACTATTTGTTCTGTCAGCCTAGTAATCTAAAGCATGCTGGAGCTGGATGTTCATGTGTTTGCCTTTTCTCAGCAGTCCTTATGAAGCCTAGTAGGGGGGAAAATATTGAGCTGTACCGACCTAGAGGTTTATTTTCAAAGGATGACCAAGAAATCCATTGTGGCATCAATCAATAAATATAGTGCAATTTCCCGAAGTTGTTTACAAAAAGAAATTCAATAAATAGCCAAAGATACCACCCACTGAATCTACAAATTCAGTGACTAGACTCATGGAATTCTAAAGAGGTGGTTGCCTGGTAACCAAAATAAACAACTTTGGAACCTAAGAAACTAAGGAAGGTTTAACCTAAGAAACTAAGGAAGGTTTTGACGACTATGTTGTAGGAGGCCATTTTGAAGGTACTTTCAAAACACTTCTACTTTACCAGTACCTGAAAAGAGCTTCTGTCAGCTGAATGATAGGAGACAGGCTGAAGTAGTTGAAAAGATTTTGGATTAAGTGTCAAAAGGGTCAGTATTACTTCAGGTATCAACCACTACTGTGATCTTAGTCATGTTTCTTCTCTCTGGGCCTCAGTTTTGATATCGGCAAGATATGAGTTGGAACAGAGTCATCTTTCTGGCAATTTCCTTAGTAATCTCAGGAGTCAGCAGTATATCTGTGTGAGTACATGGCAAGGAATAGGAATTAGAAAGTAGAGGGGAAAAAATGAAGGAACTTTCTCATGAAAAAGAGGCAGCAGAGAGAGAGGGGTGTGAAACAGGCCAGGTTTAGGCTGTGCTCCCTGACCTTGCTCTCCCCACCACAAAGCTTCCTTCATATATCCCAAATACAGCTCTTGGGACTGTAGCTTCTCTACATGTAATATGTATGAACACCTGTGAGAGCTGGTAAAAAATGTAGACTTCTAGGCCTCACTTGCAGCCTACTCAATCAATATTCTGGGGTGTAGCACACAGGATTCCTCATTTTAAAAAAGTTTAATATTTATTTTTGAGACAGAGAGAGACAGAGCACAAGCAGGGGAAGGGCAGAGAAAGAGGGAGAACACAGAATCCAAAGCAGGCATCTGGCACTGAGCTTTCAGCACAGAGGCTTGAACCCACCAACCGTGAGATCGTGACCTTAACTACAGTCAGATGCTTAACTGACTGAGCCACCCAGGTGCTCCCAGGATTCTACATTTTAACAAGCTCCTCAAATGATCTTGATGCAGAAGGTCCTTAACCATTAACACTGTCGTAGAAGCTGACTGTCCCTCTTGAGCCCTACCTTAGAATCTGTGGGTGGAGGGGAGAGTGTATTACTTTTCAAAAGCTCTCAGAAATACTGTGCTAAGGTTTATTGCTTTTTAGCCTTCTTTGACAGTTTCTGCTGCTTTAATAACAAGGAAAAACCAAGGTATTACTCCTTTTAGCATGAATCATTCAGCCCACTCCAATTATTTCTGGAGAATAAAAGTACCAGACCAGGGGGTGAAGGCAGGGGAAAATTTGGAACCTCTGAGATATCACTCGTTTTTAATCTGGATTCTTCTATTAGGTTTTACTTGGAGGCATGTGGCCTCGCCCTTCCGGCCCTACTCCTGCCTGTCTAGCCTGGTTCTGAGAGGCACAGAGATAATGTTGCTGTTTACCAGATTATGGGGCCTGGTCTGCAGTTATGCCAGGTTTGACTACAGAATGCCATGGATTCAATTTCTTATGCTCTCAGTACATAGTCACCTGGAGCTGCCACCCTGTTTTGTTTTTGTTTTTGTTTTGTTTTGTTGTAAAGTAGGCTCCACGCCCAACGTGGGGCTCGAATTCAGGACCCTGAGATCAAGAGTTGCATGCTCTACTGACTATGCCAGCCAGGCACCCCCTGCTTTTGGTTCTTAAGGGGCTGTTTCTTGGGAGAAGACCTTGCCTCAATGTTGGTCTAGGTAACATTTAAGTTTGGATAATATGGAGCCTCCAAACTCCATTCATAGGTTTTTATCTTCCCTCTCTATCCACCTTCTCTTTTATTTGCCTATGGCCCTAATATTCCTAACCTATTCCCTAAGTGCCAAATGCACCATCTAACTGTGGGATCCCAGAGATTTGCCTTCTAGCAGTCCAGTCCATACTGTAAATCAGTTAACAATTCCTCATAGTTATGTAATACTTTGAAGCTTACAAAAAAAACTTTTATACTTGCTCCTTAATTTTGAGCTTCATATCTACACCAAATTAGATATCAAACTTTTTTCAGACTGGCAAACTGAGACAAACTAGAGATATTAAATCACTTCTCCAAGGTAACATGGCTGGGAAATACAGAACCTGGCCTTACACTTGTCTTCTGACCCTATGTCCATCTAGGACAGTCTCTTTTGACCAAACACTTCAACATGTTGTCCTGTCCTCATTCCTTTTCAAAACACATCAGGTGTTATCCCTCTTTTCAACAAGCTGCCTTATTAGATGAGAACAACTATCCCTTGAGAATTTACAATAAATGGCAATGCTAACATGGTATTCTCTCTGGGATGCTGGCACTGTAACTGAAGATTCTGTGTGTCACAGGCAATACATATATATATATATATGGACACCCAAATCATTCCATATAGTCATCCTGGGGTGAAGCTTGTCCTCATCCATTTTTCAAGTGTTTAGAATCAAAATGCCCCATACCTTAGGAGGAAGATATTGACACACTGATATGTTAAGAATGATAAAATGTTCTATTAGGCAATACACAAGGCACAAGAACACTAATATTGTTTTCATTTAACAATTCATCTTCAACCAGTGAGAGTAGGCAGTGTTGCAGAAAAAGTATCACTTGTGGCCACCATCTAACCTTGCCATAACTTTTTTACATTAACTTTTAAAATATTCAGAACCCCCATGGCCATGTTGCCTTCATGGTTGTGAAGAGATGGGACAACTGAATTTAGTCTTATGTGCAAAACAATCCTGGCGGGAGATCATATTAATCACCTATGACTTCATTTGAGTGACATCTAGAAAAAAGCAGGCTCTTAACAAAAATAAATACACCAATAGGTCAGATTTCATACACAGAAGAAAAATAGAAATATTCAATCAATCAATCATCATCATCAGTGAAGCCCTGGGAAGCCAGTGTGGCATGATGGTGAAGTGCTCTGAAGTTGGAATCCGGCAGCTAGATCTAAAACCTGGCTCTTTTGCTTATGGCCTGTGTGATATGAAGCAATTTACTTACCACTCTGAGCCTCAGCTTTTTCCCACTCACATTCAAGACCATAATATCTTCCCTATGTAAAGCCCTTAGCAAAGTGCAGGGACACCTCATTTTATCGTGCTTTACTGCACTTCACAAAGGTTGCATTTTCTACAAATTGAAGGTTTGTGGCAACCCTGTGTCGAGCAAGCCTATCAGTTCCATTTTTTCAACAGCATTTGCTTACTCTGTGTTTCTGTGTCACATTTTGGTAATTCTTGCAATACTTCAGACTTTTTCATTATTATATTTGTTATGGCAATCTCTGATCATGACTCACTGAAAGCACAGATGATGGTTAGCATTTTTAAATTAAGATACGAACATTTAAAAAAAATTTTTTTAATGTGTATTTATTTTTGAGAGACAGACAGAGCATGAGCGAGGGAGGGGCAGAGAGAGAGGGAGACACAGAATCTGAAGCAGGCTCCAGGCTCTGAACTGTCAGCATGGAGCCCAATGTGGGGCTCGAACCCATGAACTGTGAGATCATGACCTGAGTCGAAGTCGGACACTTAACCGACTGAGCCACCCAGGCGTCCCTGAACATTTTTTTAAAACTTTTTTATTTTGAGAGAGAGAGAGAGAGAGAGACAGCAAATGGAAGAAGGGCAGAAAGAGAAAGAATCCCAAGCCGGCTCTGCACTGTCAGTGCAGTGATGATTCAGGGCTCAAACTCATGAACCATGAGATCATGACTTGAGCCCAAGTCAGATGACTAACCAACTCAGCCGCCCAGGCACCCCTGAACATTGTTTTTTAAAATATAATGCTATTGCACACTCAGTCAGTTAACATTTAACTTTTACATGCACTTGGGAAACCAAAAAATTCATTAGACTCACTTTTATTATATTTGCTTGACTGTAGTGGCCTGGAACAAAACCCACAATATCTCTGAGGTATGTCTGTACTCCATAATTGTCAATTATCAGCATTAGACTAAGGAAGAACTTCAGAAGGAAATTTTTTCTAATGTCTATTTATTTATTTTTCAGGGGTGGGGAGGGGCAGAAAGAGAGGGAGAATCCCAAGCAGGCTCCACGCTGTCAGCATAGAGCCCAACATGGGGCTCAAATTCACATAACTGCCAGATCATGACCTGAGCTGAATCCAAGAGTCTGACACTTAACTGACTGAGCCACCCATGTACTCCCAGGAGGAAATTTTTTTAAAAAGCAGTAAATGTAGGCTAGCTAAAACCTGGAAACCTTCCTGGAAATTAAGGAAGAGGTGATTTACCTACTTGGTGAAATATCCTGTAGCTATTAAACACTTTTAACAGTGAGGACTATGTAGCAAGATGGTAAAGTACTGGGTGGTTCAGAAGGGCAGCAGAGAGAGAAGACATGATCCTTGGGCAGTACAGCTAGAGAGCCAAATATTTAACAATGTGAGGTGTCATAGGATTGAGAGGTAAAATGACTGGTATGGAATCACTGTATTTTACACCTGAAACTAACACTGTATGTTAACTATACTGGAATTAAAAAAAAAAAAACAGATAAGAAACTGGTACAGAGTAGGAGTGATTTATAAATTTTCATGGGACATGGAGGCCTGGATAGGTCAAGAAAGTTTTGAAAGGTAGGAACTGACCTAGGCCTGGAAGAATGTACAGAATTTATCAAGGATGGAGGAAAGGCTAATGCACATAGCGGGCACAGAAGGAGGCTCCACTCTGGAGGGAGGGAGGGATGGATGGAGATGAGCTAAGAGACTCAAGAGGTTACAACCAGACAAGGTCATAAACCTAAGTCACACTCATGGAGAACAGCCTGAATGCCAGGCTGATATGTCTGAACTTTATGCTGTAAATATGTCTTTTGAACCTACATAAAGCAATATTTGAGGAAAAATGAGGGGCTGAGCTTTGGGGACAAATAGGAGAGCTAGAAGTAAGGGGCTGATACAAGGAATATTTAGAATGTTTACCATTTCTTTTTTTTTTTTTTATCCTTCTAATTCACATGGCTTCTCCCCACTCTGCCCCACCTCACTCCCCTTATCTGTTTTCCCATTTCTACCCTTTCTGTCCTGCTATGGCCTACCAATTTGTGCTGACCTTGAGCTCTCACTAGTTCCTCCCATCCCCTCAACAGGTTCCTGGTTACGCCTCCAAGCCCTGCATCTGGACCAGGCAGTGTGGAAGGAAGCCTTTGCTGGGAAAGGATGACCAGAACCCAATATGAAAAGACCTTTCTTTCCCATCATTTCCATCAATCACACCCCCCACGGCTGGGATGGGGCATGTTCTTTACCCCCTTGAAACCAAGGAACAAGGAGGAAAGTGCCTCCATCTCCAATGTACCTCCAGTCTACCACTTTAGCACACATCACTGTGCACACCTCAAGAACCAGTATCTGAAAAAGGCTGCTACAAGACTTACCTTCTCTGAGGAGGTGGTGTGGCAGCGAGGGCTTCCCAGCATCCCTTTCAGCAAGTACAACTTTGACCATCTCTACAATGCAGACCACATCATCCAGCCTACCCAGATCAGTAGGGCCCAATCTGAGAAATCCATCGGCTTCAAGTTCTTGGGCTCTTCAGGTCCCTCAGCAAGAGTCACCTCCCAGGCTGGAAAAACAGAAAGCTCTCCCATTCTTAAGAAGCACCTGAAGGAATCAAAGCCAGCAAGTGTGGTCCAGGAAAAACCGTCCTCTCTCATCCCTCATTCCTTCAGGGATCCAGACATGCTGGGTCTGTCACTTTCTCCAGCTGTGAACCTGGAAGAGAGGGAAGCCTGGCTTCCACCTCCTGAGAAGGAGGCCAGAGCCTGGGAAGCCATTGTGCTGGAAAAGCTGAACAAGCGCACAGCCCGATGGATCCAGAGCAAGCGTCCCATAAGGTCTGGAGTATCCCCCAACAAGTGGCAGAGCTTTCTGCGCCAGCAGTATGACTGGAGCCACATCCGGGATGAGCTTACTTCCACCAGTGACCTGGAGCTCTTGAAACAGCTAGAGGAAGAAGAAACAGGAGAATTTGAGGATAGAAGTGTTATCCTGCCAACCCAGGAGAAAAAGAAGCCCGAGCTGCTGCTTCCTGTTTACTATAGGTAGACTGCCTGAGGCCTCTAGTACATCTTTGAGAATCCTTGGCTCCCCTTCAAGGACTCCTGAGTTAGTTCACATTCCTCATTTCAGAATGTGCTGTCCCATCAATGTCTTGGGGTTCTCCATTGCCAACCTGTTCTCTAAGATCTCTGTAAAGTGAGGTTTCATAGCCTCAGCACTACTGACATCCCAGTCTGGATAATCCTGTTGTGGGGGTCTGCCTTATACCTTGTAGGATGTTTAGTAACACCCCACTCTCCATTTGTGATAACCAGAGAAGTCTCCAGTCATTGACACATGTCCCCTTAAGGGACAAAGTCACTCTCAGTTGAGAACCACTTCTTTTAAAGGGATTGGTTTTGGGCCTTTCCTAACAGACTTAGCGATTCTGCTGATCCAGTTACAATCCAAGTGCTCCCAGAAATGTATCCATGGGGAGAATAAGAAGGCCTTAAGGCTCTGAGGTTTGGTCCTGCCTCACTTTGAATAAGGAGCCAATGTGTCAGTGCCTCAAAAACAGACTGGCAGTAGGACAGAGAACTAAGCCTGAGGGAAGATTACTATATATTTCTGATTGCTTCCTTCTCATGGATAGCTAGATCGAAAACTGGAGCTAGCATAATGTCCTTGATTCCCAAAAGTGAACTAAAAGTGGGAATCCATTAATTTATCCATTTATTGAATAAATATAAGCTGCATTCCCACTACTTGCCAGGTACTCTGTAAAGTGATGGGAATACAACGTAAACAAGAGATATGGACCCTATAAAGAGCTTATATGTTCACTGGGATGGAAAGACATTAAATAAGCACACACATGATAAAGTGAGATAATGTAGGAATTGGTTCCCTTCCCCACGTCAATGCAACCTCTAAGGGCACCAATGTTTAAAATAAAAAAACAGTAATGCCAGGAGCATGGCCACTCTTTCAACCTGTCCAGTGGCTACAGGGGTAACTCTATTAGAGGAGGAGGAAGGTGGCTGCTGATAGGTTCCTTCACATGGCACCTTGGGAGCAAAGTGAAGAGTTAAACATAGGTGTTTTCCAGATGCTCATGTGAGTATGAAGTGAGTTTACAAAGGAGCTGTGGGTCTGATGGAAAGCAGGAGGTCCATCTCCCACCTTTCCTTCTCTCCCTCTCTCGCTCTCTCCCTCCTGCTAAGATTGCCCAATTACTTGCCTCAAGTGCAGAGAGGTGAAACTATGCCTGGCAACAATAAGACTGCTGAGGATATCAAAGGAAAGAAGAACATCTACCAGCCCCCGGACCAGAGGTACTTCCGACAGGTGAATCCTCGAGCTGGAAAGTTTGCTTACTCCACAGACAACACCTTTGAACAGGAAATATACTTTGGTAATAGAGCTGGGTCACTGTGCTGGGGGCAGAGGTGGGCATGAAGCAGGGAGGTGGAAGATAGAGGATGAAACAGTCATAGGTGTGGATAAGAGGCTCTGGATGACCAAGGTGTTCATGGCAACATCCCCTATATACCAGCACAGGAGGTTTTTTATGGGGGACTGGGGGTTGGGAGGAGGCAGGCAGATATCTGGTAGGGATGAAACTGTTCTCCCTCTTCCCCTTTCTCTATCCCTTTATCTTACTAAGGACACTGTGGAGGGTGGGGTCATAAAGTAAACAAATTTGGCTCTAAGAACAACTACCTCTTCTGTCTTCTTTCTTTCCCTTTGAGATAATCCCCCATTGAGGTGCTGTGTTAGAAAAACTTCATGGGATTTGGAGTCTAGTGGAGCCTGGCTTAGCACCCTTCCACTAACCTTCAGCAAATTATGTAATCCCTCTGAACCTTATATATCTTATTTATAAAATGATATTAACCAAAATGCACTTCAAGTAAATAACAGACAAGAAAGCATCCATAATGCTTCCTGGCCCATGCTTAATAAATGTCCACTACCTTCCCCTTCCATCTTGCTATCCTTTAGATGCCTGGGCTTCCAATATACACGATCTAGGTCTGTATGTTCTAAGCTGTTTATTCTTCCTTGCCCCCATCTTGTTCCTAAACTGTCAACTGAAAGTCTCCCTAAAGCACTTAACAGAATTATTCAGATGAAGGTATTTATGACTGAATTAAATACCCCTTTATTAGTACTTAATTTTTAATAGGGGACAATGCCTATAAGTTAGACAGATTCTGCTTTGGTTTCCAAGCCTCTATGATGCCACCAGCTTGTATTTCCAAGTAACAATCCCCTTCAAGGGATGCCCCCACATCATGGTAGTCACCAGTCCTAAGGGGTTAGAGTAAAGCAAAAGGAAATTGGGCCTGATCCTGGTGACTGAAAACCCAGCAAGACAGGAATGAGGGTGGTAATAATGATTCCTTATTTCTTTATCTGTTCACAGATGAAGTCCAGGTCATCCACCAGATTGGTGCGAAGAGAGACCATATTTTACTGGAAAACTTTAATCGGTACAAGAAGCAGCTATCCAAAGTTTTCCCTGAAACCCCGGAAAGGTGGACTTCCCAGCCAGTTCCTGAAGCACGTAAGCAGAAAGTGGATAATAGGAGTGATGAGGGAAGCGTGGCTATTTCTTGAAGGCCTCTGTTTCATAGGGTGGGCATCACCAGTATGTAGCAAAATCACTTCCTGCCAACATAAAATTATAAAACACTAACTGTAACTAGGAAGAATCTTTGTGGAACATCCATTCAGTTGAAATCAGGTAAGATCTACATGTAACCAAGAGATTTAGGGCTGGTAATTACCAATGAGGCAGGTCTCATTTTCTTCCTTTACTTCTAGAAGTACATTGAACCCTTGATCCAGCACTGTCCTGTCCCTTTGGACTACCTCCCATTCCATTCTTTTTTTTTTTAATTTTTTTTTAATGTTTTATTTCTAGGAGAGAGAGAGAGAGAGAGACAGCGTAAGCAGGGGAGGGTCAGAGAGAGAGGGAGTCACAGACCGAAACAGGCTCCAGGCTCTGAGCTGGCAGTCAGCACAGAGCCCGACGTGGGGCTCGAACCCACGAACCGCGAGATCATGACCTAAGCGAAAGTCGGACGCTTAACCGACTAAGCCACCCAGGCGCCCCCCTCCCATTCCATTCTTAGCCCACACCTGCCTAGGTACTAGGGTCATCCTCTGTTCTAAATTTCTGTTTCATGAGCATATCATTCTTGGGGTGCCTGGTTGGCTCAGTTGGTAGAGCATGAAAGAGGAGAATCTTTTCCAAAAATTGTTTCTTGTTTATGCTACAGGTTTCTTATAGCTTTTTTTTTTTAAGTTTATTTATTTTGAGAGAGAGAGAATCACAAGCAGGCTCCTCACTGTCAGCACAGAGCCTGACTTAGGGGCTCAAACCGACAAATCATGAGATCATGACCTGAGCTGAAATCAAGAGTCAGATGCTTAACCAACTGAGCCACTCATGCACCCCAAGAGAGAATCTTAAGCAGGCTCCATGCTCAGCACAGAGACCAATGTGGGAGGTCAATTCTATGACCCTTGGGTCATAACTTGAGCCAAAATCAAAAGTCACTGAAACCATGCCACCAAAATCAAGCCGAAACCAAGCCACCCAGGAGCCTGGAACATGCGACTCTTGATCTCTGGGTTGTTAGAGTCCCGTGTTGGGTGTAGAGATTACTTAAAAAAAAAAAAAGAATATCATTCTTTATTCTGAGAGAGAGAGTTAGAGAGAGAGAGAGAGAGAGAGAAAGGAGATGGCTAGGAAATGAACTTATGAAACAAAAAGTGCTCATCCTCCAAGGGACTGTGCTTCCATGTCCCATGACTCTTCTCTTTGCAGTGTTACTGCTCCGATGGGCCCCCAGTGAACAGAAACTAACGGTAGCAGTGGAGAAAGCACCCCAACAAAGCCTTTGACTGGATCTAGGCAAGTCACCTTCTGGGGCTTCACTAGCTTCATTAAAGCTACTAATCACCCCTACAGCAAGACACTTTTGTAATACCTACTGATTTTTGTGATATTTATTGATACTTAGGGGACTTTGTGAATGCATTTTATAAACCAGTAAGTGCTGTACAAACTCAAGGATTTATTATTAGTATACTACCTTCCCAGAAGCCAAATGGATTATATATGTTCTCGCCTCTAAAAAGAGGCAAATCCACAGGGACAGAAAGTTGATCAGGTTGCTGGGGGAAGTACGGAATAGGCACAAGGTTTCTGTATATTCACAACTCTGTGAATATACTTTAAAAACACTGAAATGTATACATTTTAAAAGGATGAATTTTATAGGACATGACTTCTACCTCAAAGGTGTTTTAAAAAAACAACTTCCCCTGCTGCGTTCAGAAGCCCCACCACCTGCCTCACAGGCATTTTCCCCTAGTGTGCTCGATGCCTGTTCTCTTCTCCCTCAAACATAGAATATTTAATGAACAGAAGCTGTAGAATCTTTTCCAAACTTCTTTTTTTAAATAGTGTTTGAAATTGGAGGTGCCTGGCTGGCTCCATCAGTAGAGCCTACGACTCTTGATCTCAAGGTCATGAGTTTCAAGCCCCACATTGGGGGTGGAGCCTACTTTAAATAGTATTTGAAATTGTTCTGGGAGAAGGCAAGTTGGAATAGTAATATACACACACCTTCTTATAACTATTTTACTCCTTATCTCAGGAAATACTAGGTATGAAAGAGCCTGAAAAAAAAAAAATGAAAGAAAATTCCTGGAGTTAGATGTGGGTAGATTATTTTACTCTCCATTTTGATTGAATTGAAAAACCTAATAATTTCTTTAAAATGACAAAAATTCTCAAGATACAAAGTATACTTACTGCTGTATAGCCTTAATTCCCCCCAAATCATGATATAAAACTCTAGGATGCCCAGAAGATCACTACAGTTCTTATATATTAAGCACAGGTCTTATGGTGCAAAGTCAAAGGCACCATTTGTTTCTGCCAGAAAGCATACTGTGCTTTTTATCCCACAGAAAGCCAAAGGATTGTTTCTTCATGTGCTCCCTTCAGAGGACTTTTTTTTACATTTGTTTTGAGGGGGAGGGAGGATGCAGAGAGAGAGGAAGAGAGAAAATCCAAGCACTATCAGCGAAGAGTCCAGATGCAGGGCTCGATCCCACAAACTGCAAAATCACAACTTGCGCCGAAATCAAGAGTCAGACACCCAACCAAATGAACCACCCAGGCGCCCCATCTTCAAAGAGGACTTTTGACATGGAACATGGCTAGTGGATGGGTTTTAACCTGCATAGAACTTACAGGACCAGAAGTAAAATTAATGTTGGCAGTTGTGCATGTTTAGTCCCACGGAGGTTAAATACCAGAAATACAAGACTTTCTCACATCCTTTTTAACTCCCTGAGCAGGGGGACAGAGGAGGAAAGGAAATAATCCAGCTACCTCTCACTTCTGGGAGGGATTTCAAGCAGGCCGAAAGGGAAGAAATGGTGCAATGTCATGTGGCAAAGTGTCGACTTCCTGGGAGCTGACCTGTCTGGATGTGATTCTACCACTCTGGCTGCACACCCTATACTGCAAAGGAAGCCAGCCCTCAACAGGGTGATTGAGCTTCCCCAGCATGACCAACCTGCAGCAGAACCATTCGGAGGGGATGCTCTGTATGGGCATCTGAGCTAAACTGCGCTCGAGTCTCACAAGACTCTCTACATTAGAAGAAAAAATGGCACTGCCTTCCTTGCTCAAAGGAAAGAATGGATTCAGAGCAAATCTAAATGTGTTAGAATGAAATCTGGGAAGAAACACGAACCATTGGTAGTGACAGATTAGAGCATGAGACTGATACGTGATGTAGCAGATTATGAATTTGGTGGCCTGGGAATATTTTTTATCTGTTTTGCCTTCACATAACTGCTGTTAGGGAGTGGCTTTCTGAATTTGACACCAGGGATATCACAAATTCTAGAAAATCTAACTATATTTATATAATATGCTCTTCTGTTCTCAAATTTCCAGCTGTTATTGGTCAGGATGAGGAAAAACCTAGAGACCTAAAACCTTTCAAATTTAGCAGCTTCTAGCAGCGTTCCTCCTCCCAAATAAAAAACATTAAAAAGAAACATAAAACATAAAACCAGCACCTAGCTGGCTCCAGCGAAGACCATGTGACTTTTGATCTCAGTGTTGTGAGTTTGAGCTCCATGTTGGTTGTAGAGGTTATTAAAATAAATAAACTTAAAAAAAAACATAAACTAGGAATGGACAATTACACTCTAAATTGCAATATATCAGATACTGAGTTTTACAAGAATATCTTATTACATGTAAACATATTTATGTTCCTAAAGATTAAATTTATAAAAGGTTTGCACAGATCTCAATTTCCCACCTGCCAACCCCCCACCAGCATGGCTTTATCATGTCTGCTATCAGGACTTTTCCTAACTATGAGACTTGTACTTAGTTTCCTGTATAATCATGGGAAAGTCTGCTCTGAGGAGTTTTGTTTTGTCTTAATGCTAGCTGGGAACACAGGGGCTAGGGCACTGGGCTAAGGCTGGCTCACACCGCCCTGCTGCACAGCCTGCAGGCCTGTGAAAGGAGCCCCGCGCTGGCTTGCTCTGCCCACCCCAGCCAACGATCTGCTGCTCCAGATGGGTGAGGAGGATGTGTCCATTAAGACCAGGAGGCAGAAGAAGCAGGAAAAATCCCAGGAGGAGGATGTGACTTGGGAGCTGGGGGTGCTGCAGCAGATGCTGCAGGAATGGAAGACTGCCTGGGCGCTGAGTAAGTGAAGGGGTGGGGGCGGGTCCTGAGATTCCAGTATATATTTTAGGGAGGAGGTGCTTACCTTGGACTAGTGTTTCTCAATCTCTGAGAATCCATTCCTTGTGAAACCTACAAATCTGGTTGCCTCATCAAGTTTACACTAGAGAAGAGCCTTTTACACAATCATAGTTGACTTGTATCTATAGGCTCTTTGCGTTGGCAGGTTTTACTTGAGTAAGTTGTGTGTACTCACTACATCGAGGACTCTTCACAGACAGGGACTGTCTCATGACCTCTGAAGCTTTACGCTCAATAAATGATGCATGAAGGGAATGACAAAATATGCTGCCCAAGCAGTGGAAATGTAGTAATCAAAAGAAACTGTAGTTGGCTGTGGTATAAACAACCCTTTTCCAAAATTTGTATGTGAAGCTGGGATTCTCAATATATCCATTCTGCCTTTGGAGATATGGGAGTAGAAGGCTGAGTGCCTAAGGGTAGAGTAAAGGCCTAGCAAAGACTGTGTAAAGCTATAAGATCGGAGGACTCAGGGCTGCTGGCTTGGAGAACACGAGACTAGTTTAATTAGCGTGGGATAAACAGGCAATCCATCACGTGTACTGTATTAGATAAACAAAAAAAGGTTGAAAGAGATTGAGTAAAACCTACTAGTAGGAACTCTGAAATAAAAGCTTGATACTTGCAGAGAAGTTAGCAATAAAATGAGGAAGACCTCAAAAGTCAGAGAGAAGAGCCCTCAAAGGCAGGGAAACATAACGATAAGCACAACCACTAACAGTTGAGCCCCTATTACCTTGCCAGCCATTTTGCTAAATACTTTGTCCAGTTAACTCATTTAATACTCAAAGTAACTCAATATGGTAGGTTCTAGTATCATTCTCATTTTACAAATGAGAAATATTAAGCTCAGAGAAGTTAAGTAACTCATCCAAGGTTATACAACTAATAACTCTGATTCCAAACTGGGTATGTTTGACAAAAAAGTACCCTTAATCACTATGTTTTGTCACCACTTTCATTTTCCAGAGGGTAACAATTAAGAGCTATTTAAACAAAGAGAGATAGAATATAAAATGATGGGGATGGAGTTGTGTTTGGGAACTGCCCCAGAGGGTCCATGGATTATCAGAGAAGTAACTTCCCTAAGAACCCTGGGACCCTTTATTCAGCTGAGCTCATGTTTTGCTTGAATCATGCTAGAATGAAGAGGACTGCCTAACCCTAACCTAATGGTTTTCTTCTCATTTCCCTCCCTGTGGCATAGTTATTGAGTGGCACCATGAGACAGTAGAGGGCCTGCTGCAGGACTTGGTGGACATACATGAAGACATTCGGATCCAAGCCATCATCACATGTGCTACAGCTGCTTTGGAACGGCCCCGGATTGCCACCAGCCAAAGAGACTCAGGTAAGAGCCAGAACTGAAATATTTGAGAATATAAGCAACTCACACAGCCACAGATAATGTTAACGGGTGCAGACCTTCAACGTTATCTGAGATCATTTTACAAATGTGGAAACCAAGGCCCAGAGACTGTCCTGAATACACACACCTTATCAGCAACAGATATGAAATTAAAATTCCTGACTTACGGTCCAGTGCTTTTTACCTTACATTTCATTACCTTTTATTTGCTCAGCAGCTTCATGGAAGTCCACATTGTTCCACCTTGAGAGATCTCATTTGCAATAGCCCAAAATAATACACACACACACACATATATATATACACATATATGTACATACATATACACATACACATACTATATATATACATATACATATTATACACGCACAAGTATATATATATATATATATATATGTACATATATATATATATGCTTTCCCCTCCCAACTCTTTTAGCACTTCTTTTGACAGCACATCTGAATTCCAAACTGAACTAATCGCCATAAAGCCCTCCCCATGTTCCAAATCTCAATCAGCAGTCCTACAATCCATCTACTTTTTGAGCCAGAGCCCTGGGAGTCCTGGACAAATCCTTACTCTTCCCATAACCAATAAATTCTATTCATTCTGCTTCCCACTTTGTATATTCATTAGTCAACAGAGGAATATAAAAAGAGGTAATTCCCTTCCCCCAACTCACTTCCCAGTCCCAGTCCCACCCCATGACACTCCCCAGGGTCACCAATGTTTTGTTTGGCATTTCACATCTTTCTCTGTGCTTTTCCAAATATATGCCAACATGGATATAGGCTTTTCTATTTATTATAAAAATGAGTGAATTTTATCAGCCATTTCCTAGTTTTTTCTCCTTTAATTTGTGGATATGGTGAATCCTGTTGTTAGACTATAACAGATCATGATATATTACTCTTATTACTCTGCTGGGTTTGATTTGTAAATATTTTGTTTATTTGTTTATTTATTTTGAGAGAGAAGAGAGAGCACAAGCAGAGGAGGGGCAGAGAGAGGAGGAGAGAGAGAATAAACGATGAATTCTGTTGTTAGACTATAACAGATCATGATATATTACTCTTATTACTCTGCTGGGTTTGATTTGTAAATATTTTGTTTGTTTGTTTGTTTATTTTGAGAGAGATTAGAGAGCACAAGCAGAGGAGGGGCAGAGAGAGAAGGATAAAGAGAATCCCAAGCAGGCTCTGTTTTGTCAATATGGACCCTGACTCAGGGCTTAATCCCACACTCCATGAGATCATGACCTGAACTGAAATCAAGAGTCAATCGAAACTTAACTAACTGAGCCAGCTAGATGCCCTGATTTGTTAATATTTTAAAATGTTTTACTATATTTGGTAGTTGTTTTTTTTTAACTTCTGTTAAGTTTTAGTTTTCGCTAGCTTTATAAAATGAATTAAGGACGTAGCCATTTTTTCAAATGGTCTTAATCTTTTGGGAAAGAAATGTCAATAGCTTTTTTCCTTAGCTAAGCACTGAAAAAGGAAAAAGGAAAATTCCCCATTCACAATGGCCAGAAATCTAATCTACTGAAGTGTCAGTTTAACAAAACAGAGGGACCCAAATGATAAAGTGCTATTGAGAGGACATAAAACCAACTGACTTATTTCTCAAATGCCCTCAGATATCACCTTTAATGTGAAGCCTGGGCTGGCACTTTTTCCTCTCTGCGGCTGGTAGCATCCTAATATTATTTTGTCCTAATAGTTATTAGTCTATCATAATTGTCCGTTTACATTTTTGCCTTTCCTACCAGACAAGGAACTCCTTAATGGCAGAGACTAATTTTATTTCTTCAATGTTGTTAGGTTTTTAAAGTTTCATTTCACTTATTTTCTATCTGCCAAGTTCCAGACATGGGCATTTTTGCTACCGATTTTCAAATCTGCTGGAAAACTCTTCATTTCTCTTACCTGATTAACTTCTTTACTTGTCCTTCAATTTTCAGCTATCAACTCCTCTGAAGTCTTCCCTGCTCCATCACCCAGACTTGGTTCATTATTCCCACTATATGCTTCCATGCATATACTTTTTTAAAAAAGCTGTATTCCCATTGTGGGGCTTGAACTCACAATCCCAAGATCAAGAGTTGCATGCGCCCCACACATTTTTTATTGTATACTTATTTCTTTGAGTATTAAATGGATGATGTATTTTCAGTGCCTGGCACACATAAAACCTTCACTAGCCAGCAACAGATTATTATAATCTTATTCCCAGATCTTCCACATACATACAAAGAACACTTTTGTCTGCTCCCAGAATTATCTCTTCCATGTGATCCCTTTCACATGTCGTAGGTGTCTAGATTTTGATTTGTCTTTGTCTTGTTTCTTCCCCATACATTCCCAAAGAAAATGTTCTTACTCATTATTTCTTGAAATACTCGTTTGACTTCTACATACTCCCCTAAAGTACATGTGTTTCCATCTAGCCTATTCTTAACAAATGGCAGAGTAGCCCATGGCGGTAATAAAAATGGACAGATTAGAAACCCTAAAACTCCTAGTCACAAGTCCAGCTCTGTTGCTTCTTGGGAAATCAGTTAGCCTATCTGAATTTCAAACTCCTCATCTCTAAAATGAGGTAACTGTGTACGAAAAGTTAACAGACGCTTTCCCCTTCTACTTGGGAATTTGAGTGTTAAAATGCCTACCTGTTGCCCAGATAACCTGATAAGGATAGGAACTATCTTTATCAGCAACATTGTTTATGACAAAAATAAACTCTGGTTGATAAATCACATTTGGACTGGGAAAAACTGTAAGTGGAAATATAAATACTTTAAAGGGCACCATCCTTTGGGCTTCTATGGATGCTATGACTTATAACAGGTATGCCCTTTGTGGACCCTGGAATTATATCTATGGAGTTGTTCTAAGACATACCAACTCCTGTGGAACATAGGACTTGTCCCCAGAAGGATGTGTGGAATGCTGTACAGACTGCATCACAAACTGGTCAAAAGGAATGCCTGCTGCTACCCTGTTGGCAAACTGTGCTCCTATCCTATATCCTTCAGAAGATTGGTGCTTTGTGTGGCCGATGAGTCTTGTGAGTCTAACTGTTTAACCTAAAAAGACTCCTGAAATAACACACATTTTAGGTGGGCTCTGTAGTTAATACCTGCCGTGCCTACTTCTATGAAGTCTAGAAGACTGAATGAGATAATATGAAAACATTTTAATTGGCAAAGTACTACCTAAATATAATTGCTATTATTATTATTATAAATACAAAAAAATTATATGAAAAATAGGTTGATTTCCATCACTAAAACTAATGATGAAGGTCACCGTAGTCTGGCTAAAAACCTTCTGTGGCTTGAATCCAACTCTTTAGAGGCCAGATGATAAAGGATTGGGAACTGGCATACCCAGCAGAGAAGTGAACCATAAAACCCTGACCAGTGCAGGGGCTCAGCTAAACTCTAATTATATTAAGTAGCAGTAAGCATCTGCAACTGAGACTGAGGTCTACCACTATGTGGCTATGGGAAGGAAGCTTTGTTTCAGGGAAAATCAAAAGGGCTAGCATCTCTTACCTGGTTCTCTTTTGATCACAGACAAAGAGACTGTGAAGGCCCCATCTATCAAGGACTTGCCAGAGGTTCTACAGCCCGCCCTGGAAGCTGCTCTTTGTGATAAAAATGCTAATGTGCGGATGGCAGCGGCAGTATGCCACTATGCTGTACAGTCACATAATCCCCTTGCCCGGGACATCATGCAGACTGCCCTTTTAAATGGTGAGTAACTCCTTGACACTTGTGACCTAGGGATATGGGGTAAAGACAGGACATCTCACCATCAGCTTTTCCTGATCCTCTCTTCTGCAATATCATACTTTGTGATGTCTACTGTATTGGAGGGTTTGGGTTTAGGTGTATCAACATCTAGAGATAGCAGGTCCTAGGGTACTTTTCCAAAATAGATACACTGCCACCTAGTGGTACCTAAATATTTCAGAGATGCATTTGCCTAGAAACCATGTCCCCTTTCACACAAATTTACTTTTTTAAAGAAGTTTGTGTTTAGGGGCACCTGGGTGGCTCAGTCAGTTAAGCATCTGACTCTTGATTTTGGCTCAGATCACAATCCCAGGGTTGTGGACTCAAGCCCTGCATTGGACAGCATGGAGCCTGCTTGGGATTCTCTCTCTCTCTCTTCTCTCTCTCTCTCTCTCTCTCTCTCCCCCCTCCCCTGCTCATGCTTTCTCTCTCTCAAAATAAATAAACTTAAGAAAAAAGTTTGTTTGTGTGTTTATGTATGTATGTATGTATATATGTATGTATATAATCTCAACACCTAGCATAGGGCTCAAACTTAGGACCCTGAGATCGAGAGTCATATGCTCTTTTGACTGAGCCAGCCAAGAGCCTCACCACAGATTTACTTTTTTTTTATGTTTATTATTTTTGAGAGAGAAAGCACAAGCAGGGGTGGGGGAGAGAGAGGGAGACACAGACTCTGAAGCAAGCTCCAGGCTCTGAGCTGTCAGCACAGAGCCTGACACAGGGCTCGAACTCACAAACCATGAGATCATGACCTGAGTCAAAGCCAGTCCCTTAACTGACTGAGTCACCCAGGTGCCCCCACAGATTTACTTTTAATTGAAAAGATGTAACAATACTAAAGAATACTTTCTGAGAAAAAAATCATCCCTTGAACACATCATGCTTCCATTTTCTACATTAACTTACAGGCATTGTCCACATAAAGCAAAAAGTTGTCAGGTGATTTGCCCAAGGAGACTGACCACTCTCTGAAAAAGAGCCTGTTGCTTTTCTAGGGGGCTGAGCAGACAAGGATGACTGGCTGACTGGTTTGGCCTTCCGCGTATAGACTCTCAATAACTTAATTCATCGTCTTAAGAAAGCCTCCACTCCAGCCTTCCCAATCTCTAGGGGAACGAACAACTGTATCTCTTACCCAGGGCATAAGATCCTTGTTGCTGTTACCCAACAAGAGCCTTTTAGGATTTTACTTTTCAGGTTAAGATTGTCAGTCTATATTGAAAACCTTGATGTGATCCATTTAAATATAGGCTTTGACTTCTATATGAAGAGGGGCACAGGGAAGTGAGATACCAAGCAGGCAACAGCCTTGAGTGCCAACCCTGAGGCTGTTAGTTCGCTCTGTGGGGAGAGAAGATCACCACTTTTTACCCCACCTGACAGGTAACAGCGTGGACAGCTGGGCTGCAGCTCAGTGCCTGGCGCTGGAAGGTGCTGCCACATACCCTGTGATTAAGAGGATCCTCCAGCAGCTGTTTAACAAGAAGAATGAGGATACTGAGCACCAGTCTTGTATGCTCCTGAGCCATCTCAGTGGGAAGACAGTAGGTGTCCATTACAGGATCAAAGAAAGAAACCAAGTTGTGGGGAACATTTGAGTCTTTGAGGTCAGTGCATGTAAGGAACTGAAAATGCAGGTGGTTGAGTAACAAGATCTCACACATTGTTAAAGCTGGACTACACGTGTTGGTGAACTGGGGTACAGAGGTGTGTATACAAGAAAAAGCGACATCAGCCACCTGAGAGAAAGATGAGAAAAGTAGGTTGCAGATGGTTTCTGTGTTTGCAAGAAGAGTTGTGATATGTAGAATTTGCTTCTGCTACAAGTTTACAATTGAAAACTGCACAAGACCCACAAGTGTGTTTACTTTCAGTAGAGATGTGAAACTCAAAAAGACTGAGGCATATACAAATCACTTTAGGAGTAAAGATAGTTAAAGAGAAGGCCCCAGTTTTCTGGTCAGGTTACTAGATCTGTATTTTGTTCTCGGATTTATGTTTCCAGAAGTCAGCTGGCTCAGAAAAAAAGTGCCCTGTATCTTGTAAACCACTCTTTCCTTTGGAGGGATGGGCGTTTCATATACTTGTGACATTAATTATGCTGAATGCCATGTTAGGATAGAACTTCTTCAAGGCTCCAGCATCTCTCAAAGTTATCCTGAGTATCCACATAAGTTTCCCATTCCTCAGACCCTGATACACACCATGCTTGCTGTGGAGCTGAACAGCCACCAGTGGAAGGACCGGATTGTGGCCTGCCAGGCTCTCTCGCGGATCAGTGGGAATGTCAGTTTGGTAAGCCTTTTTGCGTTTCCAGGACAGAAAGTCTAAGCAAAAGGAGGCTGGGAGCCCTTTCACTTTTTGCTGCTACTTAATATCCCATTCTTACCAAGCAGATCTTTGTCTTGTGTGACTGAAGCCACCTACTCCTTAGCATGGTAGCAACCCACAAATTGTAATCCACCCACAAATAAGCAAAAAAATAAATAAAATAAAAAGCCAGAATTTATAAAATTTTTATAGTACTTTGACATTGCCTTAACATTAATCTACTAAGTATCAGTCAGTGACACCCACCCCCTCCACCTCCCAAACTGGTCCTTCAGCAGATAGTTTGAGAAGTATGGACTTAAACTACCCAACAACCCAACCATACTAGTGTCTGCACTGGCTCTAAGTGTTCAGCACATAGAGTAGGTATAAAACATAGTCACTACTGTGGCACCTGGGTGGCTCAGTTGGTTAGGTGTCTAACTTTTGGTTTCAGCTCAGGTCATGATCTCACAGTTGTGAGTTCGAGCTCTGCATTGGGCTCTGTGGGGGTAGAGTGGAGCCTGCTTGGGATTCTCACTCTCTCTGCCCCTCCTCACTTGTTTTTTTTCTTTAAATAAGACTAGCACACACAAATGATTCAAGAACAAGTGATAAATGCAAGATATGCTCTTAAAACTTTTCAAGAGACATTAGTGTAGGCTGAACCTATTAAAGTTCTGGGAAGGAGTGTGGGACAGATGGACAAGTCTTGGACAGAATGGAAGACGGACTTCCAGGCAAGGGAAACCCTGACCATCATTTGGGCTTTCACCTTCGTTGCCATTATTTTAAAGAATATCTTCAGCTATCCAAATGGAGATTTCCCCTTCTTCCTATGTGGCACTGTATCATTTCCTTGTAACACTGAGCACCTCCAAAATGGCCCAGAACACTGCTGTTCCCATGAGAAGTGAACACCTTCCACCCTTAAACCCTTGCATTTTAAGCAGAAAGCCCCAAATTTGGCAAAATTCAGTAAAATCACCTGAAGATGTTTTAGTTTTGGTTAATTCTGCCCCAGCTGTCATGTACACTTTCTCTAAAGTCCTGACCAGCAGCACAGGCATGACCTGGGCTTGTTAGAAGGGCAAAATGTCACTTCAGGCTAACTCAGTCAGAATCTCCATTTCAAATCTGACTCATTTGCACATTCATCTCCTTAGCACTTGTCACTCAGGATTGCCAATTCAAAGTAAAAAGACATGCAGAGCAAGCAGGGGACTGGTCAGATAAAGATGAGTGCTTCATGTCAGGTTGCTGGAATGAAGAAAGGCACTATATCAGTCCTTCACTAATTCAGTAAGCAAGCAGTTTCTGACTGCAGCCTACATGCTAGGCTCTATGCCAGCACTGGGGATGCAAAAATATTACGTCTTTTCTTGGTAAATGTTATAAATAGCTACAACAGAGGCAACTATAAAGTATAACAGGGATTCCTATGCTTACAGAGGGCAGAGGAGAGTTCACAGAGATGCTGTTTGAACTAAATCCTAAAAGATTTAGGTTTCCCAAAATAGAGGTCGCAAGCAGAGAGAATAGTTTGGGCACATTTACATAATCATGAACTACAACTGTAATAATCTTTGTGTCTTCTCTTCCTTTTTTTTTTTTTTTTTTTTGAGGAGGAGGAGGAGAGAGGCAGAGGTCATGTTGGGGAAAGGAGAATCCCAAGCAGGCTCCACACCTAGCTCAGGGCCTCACAACTGTGAGATCATGACCTGAACCGAAATAAAAATCAAGAGCTGGGTGCTTAACCAACTGAAGGCACCCAGGTACCCCTGTCTCTTTCCTAGTGAATGAAGTACTAATATATAGATATAATAATAAAATATACAGGTCAACCGTCCTGCTTTGTCCAGAACACAGGACTTTTAGAACTAAACCTGGAAAAGGCACAGTGGGATGAGTTGGTCACCCTATTAATGTATCACCATCAAATTTTAAGTCCTTCAAGTACAGATTACATTGACCCCAAAATAGTATAGTAGTTTATAGAGCCTAAGCTTAGCAAACCGAGTCTTAGTCTGCATTCTAGCATTCAACAGGTTTACCATGGGCAAGTAAACGTAAGACTCTATTTTGTCATCTGCAAATGGTAATCTGCTTCACTGGATTGTTTGGGAGGGTGGGTAAAAACACCTGGCACAGTGCCAAGCACAAAATTGACAATAAATGACAGCTATTTTATACCTAAATTATACCTATTTATAGGATATGAAACATAAGTTGATCCAGCTGATGCTGAGTGACTGGAATAAGGAAGTGAGACGTGCAGCTGCCCGAGCTCTGGGGCAAATGAGCCTTGGGAAAGAGGTGCATGACGCAATCAGGTAAGACCTAGTTAACCTGCACGCAGTAACTTTTCTATACTTAAGTGTTCAGGGAACCTGGGATCCAGTCAGCCAGCATCTGTTGAGTTGCTTTGTATGCTCAGCATTGTACTAGGTCCCACTGCAGGATTATCTTAAAAATAAAAAATTACCAGTCCCTATAGACACTAACAATGTGGCTAAGGAAAGAATCATTGAATGCCCACTAGGTGTTAAGCACTGTTTTGGATGATTGAGGGTATGACAGAATTCTGATTATACAGGCCAGGCATAATACACAAATGCTTAGAAAGGTCAGGGAAGATAGAAAGACTACACAGGCAGGGATGCCTAGGTGGCTCAGTCAGTTAGGCATCTGACTTCAGCTAAGGTCATGATTTCACTGTTTGTGAATTCAAGCCCCACATCGGGCTCTCTGTCAGCACAGAGTCTGCTTTAGATCCTTTCTCCCCGCCCCCTCTGCCCATCTCCTGCTGCTTCTCAAAAATAACCATTAAAAAAAAGGTACACGACCCCTGCAGTCACTTCTGCTCCCCACTGAACAGCAGCTGGCGGGACTTTGGTAGTCAAGATTGCTCAAGGAGCCTGGTGAGGGGCGGTAGTGTGGTGCCGGAAAGGTGCAGGCCTTCACAGAGCAGGCTTTCCTGGAGGGAGGATCCAGACCCCGCCACCGGCCTTTGAGGGCAACAGCATGGGGGGGGGGGGGGCTGGGGGCATCCACTTGGATATTTCATTTTCCCACTGAGTGGCCTCTTAAAGTGGTGGAAGGCCTGCAGATACCCTTGCTCATCAGACAGGGGACCCCACAGCAGAGATGCATATCTTGGCCAGGAGGGCTCTCTACCTGGGGTCTGAGTGTCTGACATCCCAGGTAAGTGTTAGGCTCTCAGATTCCCGGCTTGTCATGGCACAGACCTCAACACCGACGATTTCCTGGGGGTCAGGGCCCAGGGACAGCAGCCCCAGGTGTCGGCTCTCCTTTTGACATCGCGGGGTGTAGCGAAGTGATCTTGGGAAGTAAGGAAACCCCCAAGGTGCAAGTTACATTCCATCCTCAGAACAGCTTCCCTGAGTCCGTAACCCACTACAGAGGGTCTGGGCCCTGCCCCAGACTAACGACTAAGAGGCTTGGGAGGTAGGATCTGGGCATCTGGTGTTCAGAAACCCTCCATGGATGATTCCAATACCAAGTCAAGGCTGAGAGCCTGGCGGGTTACTGGAAACCGGCAGAAACCTGGTGATAACTTCCCTGTTGGAGATGTCCTTGGGTCTGTGGTTTCTTTCTGGCTGGGATTTGATGGTTTATTAGGTGGGAAACTCTGTCTTTTAAAAAAACTCTCAAGGGGCAGCTGGGTGGCTCAGTCGGTTGACCATCTGAGTCTTGATTTTGGTTCAGATCATGATCCCAGGGTTGTGGGTTCAAGCTCAGTATCGATTCTTTGTTTAAGGTTTTCTCTCTCTGCCCCTCTCCCCTGTCCCTCTCTGAAATAAAACATAATAAACAACAATAAAATGACTACATAGGCAAAGAGAAGGAAAGATATTTCCAGGCTGGCAGCCAAATGAAGAAATGAGGATGGCATGTGGGAGGGCAGTGGAGAGAACTAGACTGTAACAAGAGGTACATGAAAGTTTCCTTTATTCAGTCATTCAACATAGTTTAGTGCCCAGCATATGCTAGTTAGTAACAGTGGTTCAAGTAAATAAGAAAGTTGAGATCTCTACCCAGTGAAACTTCAACCTCACAGGCATAAGGCTGACTAGGAAAGGGTGGGAATGGATAATGGAGAGCCTGCAGAGGTTGGATTTACCTTGAGGGCATTGGTGGTGGGGATGCCAAAAGTTTAAGGAGAGAAAATAAAAGCACGTGTGCCTTACAGAGTCAAGCTGAGTCAAGGAAATTTCCAGGAGCGTGTGGAAGCTCTCTGCCTGATTGGTGGGCTCAAGCTCATGACTGCCAAGCTTCTCCCAAGCTTCCTGAATTGCTTCTCTGATGACTTCATGGTAGTTCGGCAGGCAGCCTGTTGGGCAGCAGGTGCCCTGCAGATCCGTGATAAGATGGTGAGTCAGAGAAACATGTTGCCATCTTACCTGATTAACCTGAAGAGGGCATTACCTGAGCTGCCCTTGTGCTTATTACACTCACCCTTCTGTAGGGACCCAGAATGAAAGATCAGAAACAGGGAGGTCAGGGGGTAGACTGGATACATCAATCAGTTAGAACCACATTTTGCTCCCAGCCAGCCCAGACTTACCTCTTGAGCACATCCCTGAATCCGGTTTTAGGATCAACTGCAGTGAATGGAGTTATGATCCCTAATTATTAGGGGCAAACCTGACTGGACGTGTTCTAAAGAAGCCTGTATGATGACAGAACTGTGAGCGGAGGAAAATCAATCTAGATAAGCGATGATTCAGCTAATACACTCTGTGTGCAGACCAGTACTTCAGCCTCCAGCTCATTTGTCACTAGAATTGATAGAAGCCCATTTTTCAGTTATAGCACATTTTATTTTTTGTTTTATCTGAGAAAGCATGCACATGTGAGCAGGGGAGAGGGGCATAGAAAGGGAGGGAAAGAGGGGGAGAGGGGGAAGAGGGGGGAGGGGGAGAGGGGGGTAGAGGGAGAGAGAATCTCAAGGAGGCTCAACACTTAGTGCAGAACCTGATATGGGGCTCGATCACACAACCCTGGGATCATGACCTGAGCTGAAATCAAGTGTCAGACACTGAACTAACTGAGCTGCCCAGGTACCTAATTATAGCACATTTTAGAGATAAGAGGGGTCCCTGTGTCTGGTTCATTTTTCCTCTGGTCCTCTCTACTCAACACTGCCCTTTTATTCATCCCAGGTCCTTGAATGCCTTTTGAAACTGGTAGACAGCGATCCTTACTGGAAAATCAAGGCCTTTGCCATTCAAGGTATGACAGGAGTGGCCCCAGCTCTTCAACTTCAAATAGCCTCCCAAATGCTAGTGTGGATCCCTAGAATCTCTCTAGGAAGGGAGTAAAGTGTAGCTGAAGGGATGATTACACCTTCTCAGAAGTTCTTGCCTGTGAAATTGAAGATTATTTTCTTCTTTTTAATTTTCAGTTGAAGATCCTGAGTCTGGGTTTATGTCAAATTTGTTAAGGCAAGGGGCTGACAAGACAGTCCCTGCCAACAGAATTAGGACTAAGTTCTAAGTAGGTATCCACTATAGGACTCTAAAAGTCACACCAGATTCAAGACTGCTACAGACTTAAAACACTGCCCTCAAATTTTCCTGGAGTTCCTTTTTAAGGATCTTTGCCCAAGGTAAACCTGTGAAGTAATTGTCTCCTTTCCCCATCATCTTGCCTTGATGAGGCCAGTCTTCTGAATTATCAGCCCCATTGTCTCACCCCTAGAAAAATAATTAGTGTATTCTCACATTGTAATGGGTAAGGATGGGATGGATCCTCCCTCCCTATCCCTACAAGAATCCTTTGGAGACAATGTCCTACTCTAATCCATCCCTAAAATTCGAATATTTGTCATCAAGAAAAAGACACCAACAATATACTTAGTTTAAGATTTGCAGTACTTAATTTAGCAGGTACCTGTCTACATATTATTACTATTTATTAATAAGGCCATTTCTGGATGTTAGGATATAGCCAGCTCCATCTTAAGTGATAGTGGAACATACATACTACCCTCTCATTTCTGCAGCTTTGGGTCAGATTGGCCAAGTGAGTCCCCAGCTGACAGACCTCCTGCTCTGGGCCATCCACTATGAAAAGTCACCAGGTGTACGACTAGAAGCTTGCCGTAGCATCCTAGCCCTCCATCTTCAAGGGGACCGGGTCAGGGACACCTTCCTAGATGTGCTGCTCCTAGAGAACCATGAGGCTGTTATAAAGTAAGCTTTAAACCTGATCCCTGCCATGACCTCTTGTACTGCCAACTCTCCCATCCTTGTTAACGGGATGCATCCCTGCCTTTCCAGGCTGCCTAACGGCTGTAAAAGCACAGGCTCGCCTGTGCCATTCACCTACCTACCTAAGTGAGTAACAAAAAATACTGGCCTAAATTAGATAGGCCATGTAGTTCACACACCTGTTCTCCATCCCAGGTGGTTTTAAGTTATTCACTTATTCAGCTAACATTTATCAAGTGCCTACTGTGATGACAGGCTTTAGAGTCAAAAAGACCATGGTCTCAATCCCAGGCTCAGGCATACGCTACCTATGTGAACATGGGTAAGTTAAACTTTCTGAGCCTGTTTTTCCATTATCAAATGTAGATAATAAGTCTGCCTTATGGGTCTGTGGTAATAATTAAAGAGATGACATGTTCAGTATCCACCACTAAGGTGTGTAATAAATGTTACCATTAGTATCTTCAGATTCATCCTAAAAACTACATCTACATCCCTGTAAGCTAAGCACCCGTTTTGCAGATAAGGCTCAGCAAAATGCAGTGAAGACTGGAATTTAGGATTCCTGTCTGATTCCTACTCCTGTATTTTCCATCCTGATACTTTTGTTTTTTAAGGATAAGAAAAATCTAAGAAATACCTCTTATCTTTCAGGGAAATTCACCAGGCAATGAAGATACTCAACTTAAAAAATGAAGGAAACCAAGAAATGCTTCAGGAGATCAAGAACAGGGTAAAGTGCAAGCTATGTTTTCAAGAGTTCCTCAGACCCTTTTTGCCACCACAGAAATACTTTCTACAACCCCTCAGATACATATTTTCTGAAGATACAAAACACCTATGCAAGATCAGATTATAAAACCCTATTAGTATAAATAAATAAATAAATAAAAAGTCACCCCATTCAGCCTATCAAGCAGCCCTCAAAATCAGGGTGGTTGTTTTTGAAATACTTATATTTCCTTACCTTCTCATTTCCTCCCCACCATCAACTAAACCAGAGTTGTTTTTCATAAGTAGACCTAGAGATGGAATGAGTGGCTAGAGCTAGCCCCATAGATTTTCCTTTTCCCTTTTAACTTCCTAATCTGGGCTTTTACCAAAGAACACTCTAGCTCAACAGGTGGTTCTAATTTTTCAGAGTTGTTAGATGAGATGAAGAAACAGAGGGACAAAGACTTTAAAAATGTAATCATCTTTCTTCATATAATTCACAAAACCAGCTTCACACCAAGCATTTCTTAGGTTCCTTTCATCATGCTCAAAAAGCTAAAGTAAATTTTTCATTAACAAGTGTAAAACCAACATCAGAAGAGAATGCTGTCTGAGGCACTGTACCACCTAACACCAATAGGCACAATACAAGAAGTTACTTTATTAATGCTTTTTGATGATTTGCAGCCTAATACAATTGTTTTTTTCCAACATCATTTCTTCTGATCTAGATTCAAACACTAAGTCAAAAGGACTTGCTGATACAGAAAATATTCAAGATGGAGAGGGTCATAGGAAAAATGAAGGAGGAAGCAAAACGTGTTTATTGGCAACCCAAGGAGGGGCAAAAACCACTGAAACTCCATACTTTTCTACAAGAAACTTTTCAGGGTAGGTTCCATAGCGGTGAGTACTATCACGTGACTCCTTTAGCAAGCCTTTTCTGGGATCTGGATGTTTGGGGAGTTTAGTTTCAGGCCAGTAGGATGAGTCAGGATAAGGCTACTACCTTTCCTTCTTGGCTGCCATCCTTTTAGTCCTTTTTTCTTTTTTCCTGCCTGTCTCCTGGCTTTTATTTATTTGCTATTTTGTCACTTAAAAAAAAAAAAAAAAAAGAGGTAGTTCTAACTGAACTGATTTGAAAGTTAGGTCCAACACTGACAGATTAAAAAAAACAAGAGTATAAAACCGACCAAAAAAACCTACTATATGTTTGATTAAGCAGCCAAATAAAGTCTTGTAAGTTTAAATTTTAATAGTAGTTACCTCTGGAGAGTAGAACTGGAGAGAGAGCTATCATTTTTATTTTATGTACATCCATGCTTTCCCAACTTAAAAAAAAAAAAAAAGACCTCAGAAAGTTCTCAACCTTATCTAACTGCACCTATCAGTTATGGTGATAGGCTCCAAAAGTTCCAGACACAACCTAAATGAAGCACAGACATCAAGCTGTACCAAAATATACTTACAAAATCTGTGTGCCCAGGCGTAGCGGCAGCCTCAGATCATTCAGCCAGCTGCCTACCAGCCACCACCCCAAACCCAGGTCTTCTGGTTCCAAGTCCAGTGCTCTCTCTTGTACACCAGGCTCTTTTCCACCAACCATGAAAATATTCACTTGTCAGGTTTGGGGAAGATTCTTCCAACTGCCAGAAAAAAAATGAGAGTGGAAAGTAACTTGAACACCAGCCTCCCTTTATGGCCAGCTTGCTATAAGTTGGTTTACAGAGGCCTATGATAGCACAACTAGGTGACATGCTGTCCCTTGGAGAGCAATGCCAGCCACTGATGCAAGCAAGCACAGAGCAAAAACAAAGCATTCTTAACTTTTCCTATAGGATTGTGCTGGTTGGGGTTCAAGTAGCATGATTAAAATGAATTCCCCCCAAAGTTACAGAATTGGCCTCAATCCTACAACCACCCCAAGTTACCTTTCACCTAAGCCATTATAGATTTTCCCTATCTCCCACCCCCCAACCCAATTCCTTCATAATAATCTAGCCTTTAAAAAGAGAAACATTCTTTGGCACTTTAATAACTTTTCTAATATTCATACAAACTCACAGTAACAAACAAGATACTGACCCCAACCCTCCCCCCAAACTGAAGAGAACTCAAATGAAGGATGCAAATTCCAAATAAAAACTTCTAATGTCTCAAGCAGAATGACACAGCAAGTGGTACACGGTACGCTGAAGCCTGGGGGTGATGAAGCTGGTGCTCTGAAATGATCAGGGATCAAAGTTACTTGTGCAGAAATAGCTCCTTTTTTCACCTCCAACTTCTGCTTTTACTTTTGTGCCTAGATGAAGTGGTGATTCCTGGAAAATCATCCGAAATTTGTGACATTAAAGCCGTCATAAAGGTAAATATGAGCAGTTATAAAGGTAAATGGTTATCAAAGTAAGAACAGGAGTCCCCCTGCCAAAAAGATGGTAATGGTGGTTAAAAGAGAATCACCACTGTCTTGCTTCCAGCAATCAACAAAAAACTAGTTCAGGTTAGAGGCATCTTGGTGAGCAGCAGCCCCTTGTCATATAACATGGTTGCTAAGGAAAGCTGGTCCTCCACCGTGTCACAGGGCAGGTCCCCTACTCTCACAAACTCTGGGTAGGAGCGGAGCAAAAGTTCCATGGCATCAGCTTGCTGAGGGTATATCTCCAAGCACTTAGGCTCTTCCAGATGATAAACACGGGAGTTCTCCACTGTGTAATAGAGAAACAAATGGCCTCCCTCACCCACCAGCCGAGCTATCCCATCCTGAAGCATGTGCACTTCTGTTTCTGTTGTCAACTGGGCCCCCACGTTAACAGGTTCTCCAGCCTCCCAGCGAATCGGGAGCCCATAGACACTTAGCGCCCTCTCCCTATCAGTCAGCACCGGGGGCAGAGAGTCGTGGATGAAGTCTTTGGCTCGCTGGTCAGCCACAGCATCGACAGGGGCAAAGTGTCCCAAGCGGGCAACCAAGACTCGCACCTTCTCCATAAAAGCGGTTCTTCGTGGATCCTTGGAATCCGAGTGCTGGGCCCCCATGTAATCCATGAAGTCTCGGGGAAGACCCCTTCGGAACTCCACATTTTCTTCCATCGCAGCCTGCACTGCCAGGGGCAGTACGGCCTCTAGGAAGTCGCCCCAGGTATTGCGCTGGTACGTGGACAAGGTGAGGTGCAGAGAGTGCACTCCATCCTGGCATTCGGCTTGGTGAATGAAGCCCCGAGGAAAGTAGAGCAAATCTCCAGGTTCCAACACAGTCTGCAGCACTGGCTCACCGAGGTCGTCCTGGCTGAAGTTGGGACTGGACGTCAGGGCTAGCTCCTCGGTCGGGACCCGGGGCCGGTACACACGCCAAAGTTTCCTACCTTCCAGCTGCAGCACAAAAGCCTCGATGTCGTCGTAGTGGGGGGCAAAGCCCTGCGAGTTGGGGGGCGTGAGGTAAACGTTGGAGCCTGCCATGCTTCCAAACTGCTCCTGGAGCACAGCCAGAAACTGCCACACCGTGGTCGAGAAAGCCTGCGGGCAGAGGAGGCGCAGGGAGCAGCCGGCCTGGTACAGGGCCCAGGCGGCGGCAGGCAGCGCGCGGCCGGGGGGGTTCAGGGTCTCGCGCCGCCCGTTGACGTAGCGAGCAGCGTCCAGATGCTGCCCGAACTGCACCTCCTCGTGGTGCAGCATGGAGTCCAGGTCTGCGGTGGAGAAGAGCCCCTGATAGTAGGCGTGGTCCTGCCGCCGCACCAGCACCGCCTCCCGCTCCCACAGGCGCCGGTAGAAATGGTCCGGCGGCATGGGCGAGATGAGCCACTCGAACAGGCGCGCCGCCCGCCGCCGGCTGCTGGGGATGCGGTTCAGCTCAGCTAGGACGCGCTGCAGCGGCGAGTCCCAGGCCAACTCCCCGCCCGCGCTATCCACCTGCGGCCCCGACAGCGTCGCGGGGGTCACAGACGGCGGTGCGGCCAAGTGCTGGGCAGGGCACAGCAGGGCCGAGGTTTCCACCACGCGGGCCGGCGCGGCAGGCACCTCCACCAGGCGCGCGGGCGGCGCGGAAGCCGGCACTAGGCGCGCGGGCAGGGCCGGGGCCTCCACCAGGCGGGCCGGCGGGGTCTGCGCTTCCACCAGGCGCCCCGGCGGGGTCTGCGTCTCCACTAGCGCGCGGGGGGTCTGCATGGAGCGGGCCGCGGGCGAGGCCTCCAGCAGCTCTGCAGGCCCCAGGTGGCCGTACGGCTCTCGCCGGGCCGCATCCGAGATGGTCGCTGCCCCACCAGCCAGCGGGTCTCCAGGATCGTCGACTGTCGACTCCACCCTCGAGTCCTCCGAGTCCTCGCTTGGCAGTGTCTGGGCCCTCAGTGCGGCCATGCGGGACGCTACGCTTCTCCTCAGCTGCCTTCGGATCTTCCTGGGCCTCAAGGGCAGGGCCAGGACCGACCCGCTATGTGGCTGCGGCTGGCGCCGGCGTCTCAACCGCCCGCGCCTCAACAGCCCGGCGCTAGCCCGGAGCCCGTCCATGGTGTGAGCCCCTTCGGAGCCCGGCCGGGGCTGGCTGGAAAAGGGATCTCGCGGGGAGCCGCTGCGGGGCATTCTGGGAAGGGGGCGCGGCCTCCAGCCGCCACCGGGTTGGCCACGCCTGCCATTCTTCCACTCGGCACCTCCTCGCCTGGCTAGTTTCTCTCACCAGAATAGCGGTGTCCCTACCAGATTAGCAATGATTCCACGTTTGCAGGGCAATTTAAAAACCGAACTGCTGGGGACTCTTTAATCTCTGTATATTGGAGTGTTTCTCAGGAAGCCTTTATTCCCGAATAGAGTGTTTCCCCGCAACTTTGCACGGGAAATCGCTAAATCCTCATTTTCAAGGAAATGTACTCCGCAAAGATGGAGATTCCTCAAGCAGAGTTCAAACGGGGTGGGGTGGGGTGCACCGGGTCTTTTTTCTGAGCAGATGACATCATTGATTGACGCCTTAACTTCCCTCCTTCCTTTGGCAAATACAAAATCTCAGTAACAGTGGAGGAGCCTGGCTGGCTCAGTTGGTAGAGCATATGACTTGATCTCAGGGTTATGAGTTCAAGTCCCTCCTTGACCTCACCTCAAAGAGAGAGGAAAAAAAAGCAAAGATAGACAAAATCCCAGTCATAGCCCTCTGTATGATATAAGAAAGAAATTAAAAAAGAAAGTTATGAGCTTTTATACTTGGATTCTTGATATCTGCCTTTTTCACCCCATCTGGAATTTTGTTTCATTAGCTACCACTTCTCCAGAGTCTTGGATCACATGTTCTCTGAATCTTAAATCGACTTAACAGGCACTGTGCAGTGTGGTAGGCCTGAGGGTGCAATTGTTGAGAACGGCATAGTCACTATTCCATGTAACTAACTACTGTTGCTTTGTGCATAAAGATTATGTGTCTTCATTTGAATCCTTTAAGATAAATTTCCAGGAATTGAATTGCTGGGCCAAAGGGCAAGATAGTTTTTGTTATTGTTAGTAGATTTTACCAAAACTCCCTTCAAAAGCGTTTACCAAATTGCCCTTCTAAAGAGTTTACAGTGTTGTAAGCAATTAGGAGTATATTAGACTACATGGCCTTCAGGGTCTTTTCATTTGTTCTATTTGATCCTCAGTCCCCTGGACTCCAAACACTTGCCAAAGCTTTTAGATTTTACCCTGCCCATGCGTCATATCCACCTTTTAAATTTTCTGTCTGTAATATGGTCTATTACAGTGGCCCTTAATGGGGGTGATTTTGCCTCAACTGAGGTGGGGTAGAATGTTATAATATGTAGTGGATAGAGGCCAGAGATGCTGCTAAACATCTACAGTGCAAAGAACACCGCCCTCTCCCCCTGATAATTATCTGACCCAAAAGTCAATAGTGCTGAGACCAAGAAATCCTGGTCTATTACAAGTAGCCTCCCAACTGATCTCTAACTTTGATCTCTCCCTATGTTAATTTATAACACAGGTAGCTACAACATTAATTTTCTCAGGTTGTATGCCTAGACTTGCCATTACCCCACTCAAAACCCATCTGGTATTCCATCAACCAATCTAAGCTCCTTAGTAGTACTGAAGTCATGTAATGCTGCACAGTGTTATCATATACAACTCCCCTAAACTCTCCTTCTGTAAGTTAAACTATTTACTGTTCCTTTCCTGTGCTCTCCATACCTGTATTCATGCTGTTTCCCCTAAATGCTGTCCTCCAAACATCTTTTGCAAAAACCCTTATTAAAGCCCATTTCATATCCCATCTCCTCCCCAAAGGTTCTCCCATCTCTCTAATAGAACTTTGACCCTTTCACATGAACTTAGCACCTTGTACCTTTTATTGGTATATAATGTACTTGTCATATTCGTTTCTAAATTTCCTAAACAGTAAACTCTTTCAAGGATGGTGAGATTTCAAGGAAAGGTCTTCCTTATGCTTTTTTCTTTTGCTTTTAGCAAACTGCCTTTCACACAGGAGGTACACAGGAAATGTTTGTGGGAAGTAGACCAATCAGAATTCCTTGTCACTCATCAGTATCTGTGGCATTATTAGCTCAATCAGGTTATTCTCTCAGGTCTCAGGAATCTCATCTGTAAACTGGGAATAATAATTGAACTTACTTCTTCATTGAGTTGTAAAGATAAATAATGCATATAAGGCACTTAGCACAGAGTCTGCTACAGAACTAAACACTTAAAAAGTGATGGTTAAAATAATAATGTATTATTATGGAGCAAAGCCGTATAACATGGCTTATGTGCTCTTGGCCTGGTTTGGAGGAACTTGGAGTAGGGTGAGACAGGAAGTCCTAAAACTGGACAAAGTGACAGCTGAGATGGGGAGATTAAGATTATTTTTGCATATGTTCTGTGGAAGTGTAAGTAAATCAACAGGGACCATATCAGACAAGGCCATTATGGGAGGAACCACTCTGCAGTTACTAGACCAAGGGTCCAAGTGTGAGCTGAGGTGGGGGGCAGGGGGGCAGGATTAGCTGAAACCAAATTATATCCTCCCAAGTCCTGTGTCTAGTTTAGGGCTGCAATGTACAGAAAAAGGGACAGCAGGAAGGGCATCCTTCTTATTTGACACACAAGCTGTGTGTGCTGGCAAAGCCAGATATCAGATCCCTGGGGAAATGTTGAAGAAGGCAGCTTTAGTTTGTCACTGGGAGCTTTCATTGCCTTTTCAAAGGGAGTGGTTTTCAATAGACTAGGGATACATCCTGCAGTGAACTAGGGGAATGAGCTGTGCTTCTGGGCTCACAAAGCTTGGGAAGAAATTCAGCTAGTGGAGAGCTGTAAATTTATCTTTTCCACATCCTGTACAAACATCTCCTCCTCCCAGTCTTTCCTGTGACCTCATCCTTTTCTTTTTCAACATTTTGTGATTTCCCAAAGAATGTTGTTGCTATCTGTCTTCTAGTTTCCCTTGTGACTGAGAGACATCTTTTCGAGCCTGACTTATTTTAAATTTCATTGCTTTTCCTATGGTGCTACTTAGTTCTCACTATAAAAGCAGATATTAATAACTGTCTTCAGAAATACAATTGAACGACATGGAATAATGTTCTTAATGTATCATTGGGTGGGAACAGAAGCAGACACAATAAGTATCGCAATAGGTTCCCACGTAGGGGGAAATTTATGTATGTGTGATGTGTATGTGTATACCTACCTATCCATACATGCATCCATACTGTTAAAAAGCAAAAATTGAGTGAATTTGTAGATCTAGTTGGCTTTATTCAACAAATTTATGAATTAGGAAGGATCCCACCCAGCAAATAGAAAGGAGCTCCAAGTTGTACAAAATGGCAGGCTTTTTATAGGCAAAAAGATAGTGGGACAAAGAAGTTAAAAGAATAGATTATTTCAGGGGTGCCTGGGTGGCTCAGTCAGGTAAGCGTCCAACTTCGGCTCAGGTCATGATCTCATGGTTTGTGGGTTCGAACTCTGCATCAGGCTCTGTGCTGGCAGCTAGCTCAGAGCCTGGAGCCTGCCTCGGATTCTGTGTCTCCCTCTCTCTCTGACCCTCCCCTGCTCACACTGTCTCTCTCTCTCTCTCTCAGAAATAAATAAAACGTTAAAAAAAAAAAAGATTATTTCAGTGGAGGTTACCTTCGCATAGGGGAAGGCAAAGGGTCTTATGCAGATTACCCTAATGGTACAGATCTGGAAATTCCAGACTGGTTTAAAATTCCACTGTAGGGAGAGGTTGGAAGTGCAATTAGGTTTAGGTGTTGAGCCTTGGTGGGGTTTAGCGAAAGTGACTTCACTGGGGCCTGTTGTTTCTTTCAAAGAAAACATAATAGTAAAGAAAGTTTTGGAGTCTTTGCACCACAGTATTTTTATTTTTTTATTTTTTTTTTATTTTTTTTACAAATATTTTATTGTCAAATTAGTTTCCACATAACACTCAGTGCTCATCCCCAAAGTGCCCTCCTCCATGCCCACCCCCCTCCCCCCCACATCCATCAGTCCTCAGTTTTTGTCAGCATTCAAGAGTCTCTCATGGTTTGCCTCTCTCCCTTTCCCCCACCATTTCCGCCCTTCTTCTCCCCCTTGTTCCTCCGTCAAGTTCCTCCTAATCCTCCTATACGTGCAAATATATGATATTTGTCCTTCTCTGCCTGACTTATTTCGCTCAGCATAACACCCTCAAGGTCCATCCACGTTGCTACACATGGCCAGATTTCATGGTTTCTCATTGCCATGTAGTATTCCATGGTATAGATAAACCACATCTTCTTGATCCATTCATCTGTTGATGGACACGTAGGCTCTTTCCATGTTTTAGCTATTGTGGAGAGTGCTGCTATGAACATTGGGGTACATGTGCTCCTATGCCTCAGCATTTCTGTAT